ATCTTCCAATGTTACAAGCCCATTGAAACCCAGGAGATTGGGTGCGATTGCTAGAGAGACATCCTATTCATCTCAGATGTTTGTTCCGATGGGTGGAGATGGTAATGGTGGATTTGTAGTGGTGGTGGCAAAAGATCAAGAGGGATCCGAGGGAAGGATACCTGATTTGACGACCTTGAAGGCCTTTACGGTCAAGAACAGCCAAGGAGTGAATTATAAGCCGAATGTAATGGCATCACCCTATGATTGTGACGGATCGGCCAGTGACCTTCTTGACGATCACAAACGAGTCCGGGGTTGGAAAGGATGATTGTGAGGAGTACTGGTTCAAGAAGGAAGCCGAGGCTGTGGGATCGGAAGGAGGCGTAGCAGCTATTGTTCGTCTCTAAAAAAGGGAAGAGGAAAAAAATATGATCGAATGATGAAGTTTGCGTAGACTTTACGACGTTTTGTTTACTTGATCTCTAGCCGATGTTTAGTCTTGTATAAAATAAACAATACATGTTAACAGACTATTAAACCGACCACTGCTTGGCTTATTTTTTTATTTTCTTATTGGGCAAAGCAAAGCCGAATGTTTTTTTGGGCGGGTATCGTAAGATTGCCAAAATGAAAAAAAAAAAAAAAAAAAAAAAAAAATAAATAATGGGCTGATTCCCTATTGGATGGACAATGATTTTTTTTTTTTTTTTTTTTTTTTTGTTTGTTGGTTTGGGTGACTGAGAATCCCTCATTGCAATGGAAGTCAACTTGGACAGGAAAATAGGAAACATACACCGTTGTGTATAATACAATCATGTCCACGTAGACAAGGTTGCTACTGTTGTTCTCCGCTGCTAGTTATAGTAAAAGTAGCGATCTCTTTTTTAAAAATGGGGATGTTCTCCACTCTCTCTCTCTCTCTCTCCTCTCTTTTTTTTCTCTTTCCTTTCTCACAAACTGCTCCACCTTTCTTTTTATCTTTCACTTTTCTTTTCTTTTTTTTTTTTTTTTTTTTTTTTTTCTAAAAGTTAATTGTGTTGCTTTACTCATTCAGATCTCACATTCTCCTTCAAAGTTAAAAAAAAAAAAAAAAAAGACATGCCAGCCGAGTTGTGTGAAGATGCCAAGGAGCTTGACTTTCTCATTACTCGAATGAAAGATCTCCTAGTGGAATGTAAGATTCAAGTTGTAAAACTTTCCCCTTCTTTATTCTGTCACTTTGTTTATCTTATTCGGTTGACTCACGTTAATTTCCACCGCGCATGGCTAATGTTTTCAAATTTGGACAATCCGAAAATAAAAAATTTCCTCCTTCGATCGATCTGATCTGTCCTTGACAATCTGTCCCTATCAATCTGACAAATGTCACCTTTTTTTTTTTTTTTTTTTTTTTTTTTTACAGATATGGACCAAAGCAGGGCGAGTGATGGTCTGTTGGTCGATTACAAAGAGCCTGAAGAGTTGGAGCGGATCATGGACTTTTCATTGCCGGATCATGGTGTAGGATCTCAAGGTAAGAAAAAATAAATAAACAGGGGTAATGTATGTGTGTGTAACAGACATGGAACCTCAATTAACAAATGTTCCCTGAGATCCTTTTTTTTCTAGGAATCTTTCCAACGATCACACAAACATTGAAGCACAGCGTCAATACGTTCTCACCTCGGTTCATGGATAAGCTCTATGCAGGTTCTTCTCCCATTGGAGTCATGTCCGAACTTCTCCTTTCAGGGTTGAACGGGAACTCTCATGTGTATCATGTTTCACCTGTTTTCACAATGATGGAGATCCACGTTACTCGAGCCCTTGCTCGTCTCTTTGGATTCACGGGACCCTTAGCAGGCGGACTTTCATGTCCCGGTGGGAGTGCCAGTAATCAATTAGCAATGGTCACAGCCAGGAACGTATTGTTTCCGGAAATTAAAAAAAGAGGGTATTTTCCTCGATGGTCTGTTCAGGAACGGCGTGAATTGGAGAGACAATTAGGAATCACCCTAGCTGAACCATCTACCTTGTCCTTAATATCACCAACATCATCAACATCGACCTATGGGAAACTAATTGCCTTCACAAGTAGTGCAGGGCATTATTCGTTGGAGAAATCAGCTGTTATTATGGGCTTGGGTTCAGAGAACATTGCTTGTGTCCCCTGTGATTCAACTGGAGCGATGATTCCTTCAGAATTAGGTGAGTTTTTTTTTTTTTTTTTTTTTTTTTTGTAAATCATTTTACCTGTTCGTGAGGTGGTTTTTGTTTCTTACACTTCTTCTCTTCCCTTTCTTTTCTTTCCTCATTTGTCTGGTTTATTACTTAGAGCGCTTGATCCAAGAACATATTGCAATGGGGCATACACCTTTCTTCATCAATTGCACTGCAGGAACAACAGTCTTGGGCGCATTCGATCCGATTCGCCCTTGTGGTGAAATTGCGAAAAAGTACAACTGCTGGTTACACGTCGATGGATCATGGGGAGGTTGTACCATTTTTGTTCCCGAGTTGGCAAAGACTTTGTTGGATGGCTCAGAAATGGTAGGGTTATATTTTAATTAAGAAAAAAAAAAAAAAAAAAAAAAAAGTTTTTTTATCATAGACGGATGAACTAACCATCTCTCATCTTTTTTTTTTTTTTTTTTTTTTTTTAAAAAAAAGGCTGACTCGATTACAATCAACCCTCACAAGATGCTTCAAACACCTCTACAGTGTTCATTATTACTTGTTAAGGATTCATCCATCTTTCCACGTGCGAATGCGCTTAAAGCAAACTATCTTTTTCATGATCAAAGTCACGATCTAGGTGATGGAACCTTAGGATGTGGCCGTCGGTCAGATGCCATCAAATTCTTTTTGGGATGGAAGTACTATGGCAAGCTTGGATATCAAGCCAGGGTTGAGAAATCACTTTCCAATGTGAAGCGATTTATCGAGATTTTAACTCAAGATGATTATCATGGACAGAGGATTCAGATGTTGCGTCTTGGAGATGGAGATGAAAATGGAAAGAGCTCTCAACCTAGTCTGTTGCAAGTCTGTTTTTGGTACCGACCTCGAGGTAGTCGACTCATTGATTGGCAAGGTACAGAGATCCTCTGGAAGAATGAAGCTGAGCAACAACAGCAGGAGCAACACATCTCCTCTGCTTTGCCACATTTTACTGCCCCTGCAGTTGAGACAGACATAGAGGCAGAGTCAGAGGCGTCCTTAATCAACAGCAGTATTACAGGTCAACTTTATGGACATCATGACTCCTCATCTAGGACATCACCATCGAATTCCTCTGCTGTCTCGTTATCGTCATCTGATTCAATGTCATCAGCCTCATCAGCCTCATTATCAACGGCCCACGCAGGAATCGATAGCGACCCAAAGCCTTCTACTTCTTCTTCTTCTGCTAGACCAGTAGACCATGGTCTAATTTTGACAGATCCTGAGGAGCGAGAGGAGGCTAGAGCATGGATGGAAAAGGTGATTAAGGCCATTCATGCACGTATCCGTACTAGAGGGATGTTCATGATTGATTATGCACCCTTGGGGCGTTATTTGCCCATTTTCTTCCGTGTTGTGTTGAACCCACCGACGATCCGGGAGCTGGACCTTGTAATGCTTGTAGATGAGATTCTGGAATGTGGAGAACTTGTTGAAAAGACTATACCCATTCCTGTCTGTTGCCGCGCTTAACAGAGTACCAAAAAAAGAAATAATAATAATAATAATAATAATAGATCCATCAATCCAAAGTATACATTTATATTAATCATATAGAAAGGAATAAAAAAAAAAAAAAAAAAAAAAAAAAGATTATAAAAAGGACAAGGTAAAGAAAGGAATAAAGAAAAATAAAAAATAAAAAGATCGAATGGATTTTTTTTTTACGTTAATCAAGAGGACTATAAGTTCCCTTCGGCGCACGATAACCCAGATGCCAACTGAATGACAGAGTCGCGTGCTTCTTTAAGAAACTCATTTGCGATCTTGCAAAGTGGTTGAAGCTTAGAGCGGATCAACCTTGGCACTCAGATTCGATGATTGTCATGTGACCATCAATTGAGCGTGGCAATGATGCGTGCTTTTTTGATAGGGATCTTTTGAGGGCCACGGGAGAATAGTTTATTTAAATGAGACGAGACTGCTCTTTAAGCTAGAACAGGACATTGTCGTACATTACAGAAATTAATTGTGGGATCTAAAAATATTCCGCTGCTTTCGAAATTAAAAAGTAAAAAAGAATGGTCACGCTCTTTACCTTGGTATATATATCATATTAACAAAGAACGAGAAGCCTTATTTCAGTGAATTAAGAACGAAGGCTTGAAAGGAAGGGCAAGGTGAGTAAAACAGATCCTTAAAGATTCTTCTCTTTTCTTTTGGTGCATATCAATACTATGTCTTCAAAGCATGGACAGGTCTAGTCAAGTGATCCAAAACCCTCCGAAACAAAGCTGAGCAAGTATAAGGCTTCATAGTTCATCAATGTTAATTTTTCCATTCTGTAAATCGGAACGATATATCAATGTTCAATAGAAAATGAGGCTTATCTTAAGAAACGAGGGTGGATGTATGTACATAGAGTATATATTGGTAGTTTAATCAAGTATTCAATCATGTCACTTGTTCAACATTAGTAGAGTGGACGGGGAACAGCAAGAGCAACAGCGAAATGAGTCCTGTATTAGAAGATAGGCAATGGCGTTGTGCCATGAGTGTAGGGCTCTATTTATTGTGGAAGCCTGTCATAACTTTTTGATCTTGACACGGCTCTATAACGCATAGTTCCGGATAGTCATGTCGTCTTTCGCAGCTCCGTTGGCAGGATCCATTTGCTTCATCTTTTTGGACTTTTGGATAAGCTCCACGTTTCATTCTTTCTGCCTTCTCCTTGTAAATAGCTTTGGTTCACTTTGTTGCCAGTTAGTTTGCTTGTTATGGATGGATGAAAAGGCAAAAAATCAGCCACCAAACGGATTCAGCATTATTGGGAGGTGGTCAAATGATTGTGTCCGGAGTGGTAACGGATATATATATATATATTTATTGCAAAAAGGGTTTTACATGTTTCATAGATACATGTGTAATAAATGTGTGTAGAAACTCAATCAGAGTCTTTGCATTCATCTGTCCAATTAGAACAACAGGTTTCATCTCTCCCACTCTCTCACGTCAACATTATCATTAAATCAAAAACTTTGTGCCTGGGTGAGAGAGTTTTTTTAAAAAAAAAAAATATTAATGTCTGCCTGCAAGGGAGCCTTTTTTTTTTTTTTTTTTTTTTTTTTTTTTTTAATTTCTCACATTTATAGAGGGAAAGCATTGTTTTTTTGATGTTGGGGCGCCTCTTTATTTTAATTATTTTTTCTTGTTTATTTATCTAAGCGATGGCCATGAGTGCAAAGACGAAAAGGCTATGAAATGAAGATGTGGGGGATGCCAGAATGGGGAGGGGGGGGAACACAAAGCGGAAAATAGAAGTGCAAGAAAGATGGAAAGAAAAAGAGAAGAGTCAAAAAGAAAAAGGTTGTCTGTCATACAAGTAAAAAAGAGCGCGCGTAACAAACAATCATCTTCTCCAACCAATCCCATCACTCATGAGGTCACTTGCAAAAAGAAAAAAGATTTCTAGTCCTTTTAGGCCATCCCTAGTCCTTCCTTTTAGTCTTCGTCCTAGTCTGCAACACAACATAGCGGTTATCTTTGATTAAAAGTCTTTCTTTTATTGCTTTGACACTCTTTTTCTTTTTCTTTTTTTTTTTTTTTTTGTTTCTTTTTCACTCCTTTTTGAATTGACAATTCCATTCCATTCCTTTTCTTCGCTCTCCTTTCATTCTCCCTCACTTTCTTTCTCTCACACTTACTGACACAGCTGTATTCGCATACTCACCCACATATTCATATTCATATTCATATTCATTCATACACATACATTTTCACACACACACACACACACACACAAGCATATTTATACATAGCAACAACCATGTCGGCTACTCCAAAATATGCCGCCAAGAGCACACTTCGCTCAATGTAAGACTCTCCTACACAAAGTAGTAATATCCATCCACCGCTAGGAAGCCTTTTCTTTTTCTTTTCTTTTTTTTCTCTACATTGTCTACTTTGCCGCCATTTTTTTTTTTTCTAGTTTATCTCCTGGGATATGAATGAACAGTAAACGGGGTTGGTTCATTATGAACCACATTTCTCTTTCCAGGCATTAAACTCTCTCTTTCTTTTTTTTTTTTTTTTCTCCTGTGGCATGAATCAAAATCATTTGTTTGCAGTAAAAAACTTTTCCAAAGGCTATACAGACATGCAAGCCAAGGTTCGAGAAGCAACCTCAAACGACCCTTGGGGACCAAGTGGCACACAGATGAATGAACTCGCTGCTGCAACCTTTAATCAGTAAGTTTTATTTTTTCTTTTCTCATGAAACATGAATGATTTTACAATGTGTAGGAATTGACGCAATTACAACACATGACAACCCAACTAAAACAATGTACTTTTTTTATTCTTTTATTTTTTTTCTCTTGACATATATTATCGTGATGCTTTTACAGGCAGGCTTTTCTTGAGATTATGGAGATCTTGGATAAGCGCATGAATGACAAAGGCAAAAATTGGCGACATGTTTTCAAGGTAAAACCTTGTCAATTATTTTCTCCTCACGTACTGGAACTTTTTTTTAAATAGTGACTCGGGACTTGGAGACAGCATGGCGTACAGAGCAGGAACTAAAGGCGCAAAGGCGGATGTATTGGAAGAATGGATCACGACAAAGATTATGAGCATTGAAGAGCTGGGACTAAAGAGCTCCCAAAAAAAAAAAGGGTGACCGAAATTCAATGAGCATTCCCAGTACCTAAGTAACATTATGTCTGCCCATACTACGCTTCTGCAGTAGTAGCAGTTGCTATTGCTGCAATACTTGGAGTCGAATTGATCAATCTATTTAGCTGCAAGTTCGATTGCCTAATTAATATCTTTTGACCTTTATCTAATCCACATGTATCATTTTTCGTCCGTTTATAGGCCTTGACTGTTCTTGACTATCTAACTTCATGTTGGTATGTAGTCTTTGGAAAATTAAGTTATTTTAAAATCGATCGGAGGAAATGGGCTGTGGTGCGAGAAGTTCAATTGTTTTACTAACACTAGAGTCTTATGCTTAAATTACAATCAATGTGATACAGGATCTGAGAATGTGGTCCGATATGCCCGTGAAAATATCTATATCGTCAAGACTCTTAAAGAGTTCCAGTATATCGATGAAGAAGGAAAAGATCAAGGATCAAATGGTATGTAGTGAGCATAATAGGGCCTCTGAAGCAGCTTCTGCTTAGTAGGTTCGCTCAAGCTACTTTAAGCTCGTCTCTCCTACTTTAGATCAACTAAGGTCTGCTAGGATATATGAATAGTTTTCTAATTTCATACTTCTTCATATTATTGCATATATATATAATATATCAATAATCGTCATTCTCTCTATAGTGCGTCAGAAAGCCAAAGATATTACAGCCCTACTCTCTGATGAGGCTCGATTGAAGAAGAGCGACGGTCTCGTAATGCTATGCGTGACCGTATGAGCGGAAGGACATATGGAGACGATCATTCACCTGTCTATGAGCGTCCTGGAGCTATCGATGATGATCGTGACCTGCAGCGTGCGATCGAGGAGAGCAAACGTACCGCACGTGAATCCAGCCAGCGCAAAAGGTATCGCTATCAAAGTCCGAATGGACATTTAGTAAACTAATCGAGTTCTCCTCTTGTATGCGATCACTTACATTTCTTTTTTTTTTTTTTTTTTCGCTATATAATGAAACAGTGAAGAAGACGATATCCAAAAAGCACTGAGCTGAGCATGAAGGAGGAGGAGGACAGACGAAAGAATGTTGAAAAATACAACCAACTTTCATTGACAGAAGATTGGGAAGCAGATTCAAAGTATGCAAAAAGTCTAATGCGAAACATGTCTGGGTATTTTCTAGATGAATCGCTGCGGACCATCGGTAATTGATCTCTTATATGTTGCTCCTTTTGTTATTGCATTTAGGCCAGCGAATCAGTTGACAGAACAATTTTGACTTTTCGGAATGACTTTGGCGGCCAAAACAATAATAATGGGAACAATCTTGATGCTTTCTCTTCCATGAATGGCTTCAAGCAACAACAATGCTTTCCTTCAACAGCAACCCACGAAGAACAACCCCTACCTTCAGTTCCAACAGCACAGCTTCAGCAACAAACAACTTCAACAGCAAGAATAATGCGCCAGCAGATGTGAGCAACAGATGCAGCAACAGCAGCAGATGGCATTATGAACTCGATAAACAACCATATCAACAACAGCTGATGTCCCTCAAATGACAGGAACACCTACAATTGGATCCAATAACCCATTCAGTCTTTCGCTCAAAAGCCTGCCATGACGGACAACCCTTCAATTCGAATGGCATGAGTGATTAAATAAGGCCTCAATAATAATAATGGTTTGAATAGCAGCATGAGCAATGGATTGGTAACAATGGATTTGGCAGTAATGGTTTGGCAGCAACAGTTCAACATGGAAGCAATACCAAACAGAGCAATATGCCAGCAACAATAATCCATTGGCGATCTTGCTTTCCTCCAGAATACCATGACTGGATCACCTGCTCTAACAAGGCTGTAAGCTTTTTGTTTTATTTGTTTATTACATCCTCATGTGGATTATAGCCATTTCTTTCAAGACATGAACGTTGACGCTGACACGAGCATACTTATTTTTTTTTTTTTTTTATTTTTTTCTTTTGATTTACTTGTTTTTTTTGTTTTTTTATGTTTCTTTATGTTTTTTTTTTTTTTTTTTTTTTTTTTTTTGGCTTTTCTTTTCTTGACTTTTTTTATTTTTTCTTTTCTTGGATTAAGATTAATTTATTTGGTGTTTTTTTTTTTTTTTTTTTTTTTTTTTTGGTTTTTTTTTCTTTGAATTATCTTTATTTATTTTTCATCGTTGATTTTTCTTGTTTTTTGTTTGTTTTCTTTTTTTGTTTCTTTGTTTCTTCTTTTGTTTCTTCTTTTGTTTCTTTGTTTTCTTTTTTGTTCTTTGTTTCTTCTTTTGTTTCTTCTTGTTTCTTTTTTTCTTTTTTTGTTTCTTTGTTTCTTCTTTTGTTTCTTTGTTTTCTTTTTTTGTTTCTTTGTTTCTTCTTTTGTTTCTTTGTTTTCTTTTTTTGTTTCTTTGTGATTTTGGATTTTTTTTTTTTTTTTTTTTTTTTTTTTTGGAGGCGTTTGTTTTGGCTTCATGGATTGTTCGGCCTTTTTTTGGTTTCGTTCTTCAGCTAGTGGTGCCGAGCTTTCAGTACCAGCGCCTTTTAGGGTGTGCTGTGGGAAATGGTCTGGCCATTATGGAGTTGCTCGAGAGGCCTTTGCCATCTAGTCATCATGCCCAGGAGGCGGGCTGGCCGGTTGGTCATTAAGAGCTGATCGAATGTGGTAGCCCGGCCATTTGTCTAGGGCCGTTTGAGCAGGACCGTTTGGATACAGCTGCTTGTTTGAGTGCGGCTGTTTGGGTGCGGCGGCTGTTTGAGCGCGGCTGTTTGAGCGCGGCTGTTTGAGCGTGGCTGTTTGAGCGTGGCTGTTTGGATGCGGCGGCTGTTTGTTTGAGCACGGCTGTTTGGATGCGGCAGCTTCGCTGTGAGCTATAAAGCTCCAGCTGCTTTCTATGGGTTCATGTCGTTTACAGTCTAATTGTGGAATGAAAAGAAAGAGATAGGCAGGGAAAGAAACATCAGAACAAGAACAGTGCAGCACAGAGCAAGAAGGTTGAGAACTTCAGTAGGAGTGTGTATTTGGAGAGTGTTGCTTACCTTTAATCTTGGTTAGGAGGCCGATGGTCGAGGAGACCGAAGAGAAAGAGAAGAGAAAAAGAAAAAAAAAAAAGAAGAGAGTCAAAATTGGCTTTTTTTATTATTTTTTATGTTCGCGAAAGAAGAGGAGAAGTGATTGGATTTCAAAAGCACGATGTACTAAGTACCTTGCTTGCTGTACGCTCAAGAGCGACCAATAAAATGCAAACAACAACAATAAAAAAAAAAATATACGTGTCTTTGATGTCATCTGTCATATTTCATATGATAATGAAGAGACTCTCACGATTAGAGATGGGAAAAAACACTCTGTCTTCAAGACTCGCAATAAAGGCCTGTCCACAACCAACCAGAGCATGAGCTACATTGATCTCGAGTTATTTACTCTTGTTGTAAAGGGAATCATCTTCTCAATCCTCTTCTTCTATTCTCTTTCTTCGGCCCTAACAAGAGATGGGATGAACTGTACTTCGGCAGATTGGCGTTTTTCCAGAGTGTGATAGAAAATAACACATGACAATCCTCAGAATACTTCTGCGCCTTTTTTTTTATTTTTTGTTTTTTTATTTTTTATTTTCATGCAAGGCAATATAGAATATATAAAGATTAAGCATTAGGCGGTGCGTTTATAATTCCTTTGTCTGAAGGTGAAATAAAGTATAGATATACCAACATTTATGTATCGAAAATTTATAAAACACACAATCGTATCGAAGGAATGACGTGTCGTATCTCTTTGGCGTTCTGAAAAGGAAAAAAAGGAAAAAAAGGAAAAAAAGGAAAAAAAGGAAAAAAGGAAAAAAGGAAAAAAAGAAAAAGAATCTGCTCGGCGAAGCACAGTTCTCACAATAGTCTATCCTATCCTTGTTAGAAATGAAGAGGGAGAAGAGAAGAAGAGAATTAAGTAGAAAGTTAGACTGGTAGTGCCTGATGGGCCCCATTGCCAAGCAAAAAAAAAAAAAAAAGGTACTCGAGCTTAATGCTGGTGAAAAATGGGAGTATGCGAGTGTTGATAAGCTATTGTGCATTGAATCCTGTCCTTTTACTTTAGTCGCATCACACTGCTCACTGTCCTTTAGTCTCTCTTTGTTGTACACCATGCAAAGAGAGCAATGTGGCTCGTGCTCTTGTTTGTAGACAGGCAGGGTTGTTGTTTGTATGATTTTGCAGATCATTGAGGATAGAATGTTATTAATGCTCTTTCCATCCCACCTTCACCCGTGAGAGTTTTTTCTTTCTCCACCTTGCAAACATATGAAAATCGACGGATGATATCACAGGTGCACTGATTATCCAATTTTTAATATCCGCTATGCCGCTTCTTCTTTTTTTTTTTTTTTTTTTTTTTTTTTGCACACATGTTCTAGAGCGCAAAAAAGCATATCCATTATTCACTCAATACTTTGAAATCGCAAATTGGGTTTCACTTCAGAGCGATGTCAAAAACCACTGATCGCACATCCCTTCGCCCTTTACTCGCGAGTGCCTTCGATAAACAATAGACTTTTTACTTTTCTTTTCCTTTTTCTCCCCAACACGCAGCAACTAAGAAGTAACAAAAGAAAAAAATAAAAAGCAAATAACAGAAAAACAGAGAAAATTATGGGATAAAGAAACACAACAACAAGACAACACCTGTCAAAGTAACTACAGGCTCCCTCAATCAAAGCAAACACAGACTCCTCCAACCAAAGCAAACATACCCAGCCTCAACCAAATCACCAAAGGCAGTGCCAGTCATAACAAACACAGGGCGCCTCAAGCAAAACAAACACGCTAAAGGCACCCAAAAAGCATCCAATAGCCTACGCATATCAAGACTACGAACCTCTAAAGCACGAAAGCAAAAGTCTTTTTGGCTAAGAGTCTGGCCGTCTTTGGGATAGGATGCATCTCAGGAGTACCAATAAACATTGCTTGTCTGAAATATTGGTAGATTCTTGTCCTTGATCAGTGTGAGCGCAGTTGTTCCTTCAAAACTTATCACAGGAATATGTCAATAAGTAGTAAACTATCTTAACCTTGCTTAATAACGCTCTGCCATTATACATAGAAGGTTCAGCCTATTCCAGATGCGATCCTTATTATCTGTTACCAGAATCGCCAGGCATGATATTGATTTGTCACCTTCCCCTTTTAATAGCTTTTTGTACTCACGCTGTCTTCTCCACGCTCACCCAATCCGTCGCGACGCCCTCAGTTATGGCGTATCACATAGTCGGTTAGTCTCAATGGACACACACATATTTGTTGACTATATGACTTGGACAATGTCCAGTTTATATTTTGGTCTTTTGGTCAGCGCTTTAAAAATGTGGTATTCGGAGCTTTCCCTACCTTTTAATATATGCAGCTGTAAAATCAACATAACCTGTTCCAGTCGGTCAAACAGCTTAAAGAAAAAAAAAGAGTAAGAATAAGTTAAGTCTATCGCACAGAACGACGACCATAATAAACGAAAAGGCTACAAGAGCTAGGAGGAGCCAGAGATGGATTCATTGTTTTGTTCTTGATTAGCCCTTAGGCGTATTATATTACCCTGAGAGTTAAACAAACGTGCTCAAATAGCACAAGCGGTAAAGATGTGGTTCTTGTTTATAATAATAATAATAATAATAAAAAACAATGATAACAACAGGTACAGTGGCAGTAGCAGTACATAGTCTAAAATGAGTTTAGGCTGTAGCATAAGAGAGGCTACTTTAAAGGCAAAGAGCATCCATGTTTTTTACTCCGTCGTGCATACATACCAAAGAATGTGCATGGGCACAACGTTTAAAATTTTCCTGCTTGTTTACCATTCCACTGCTGTTGTTAGTGAGCCACATAACAATCTTACCTGCCCGAATGGCGCCTGGTAGATGGTCGAAACAAAGGACACATCCATTTTTCTTCCTTTCTGAGTGGGATAGCTATATAACGATCATATCGGTAGGTTTTGGTTCTTTAGTCTGATTACAGTAATCGATTTTGTGCATTTGTTGAAAGAACATTAAAACACGATCAGATCTGCCTTTACCAGTGCAGCCCTTATTCCTCTGAAAGACCTTCAACCTGTAAAGAGGTAAAGATTACTGACCCTACTTTTCCTGTATTTAAAATAAAATAGCTCTACAACTGTTCTTTTTTTTTTTTTTTTTTTTTTTTTTTTTTTCGAGAAACGATATCGCGCATTGTTCTTTTTCGTTTTAGTAGCATACCTTAAAATTTTATGTGCTCAGTTGCTTACACAGTTACATGACCCCAGTTATATTGTCAAGCCGTGTCAATGCGATATCCCTATCATTAACTTAGGGCTATGAGTGGTAGTTGTGTCCCGTTTCAGATGTCTATTATGCTGTAGTGCGTTCACATTTTAAAAAACACACTATTATTCTGAGTAGTGCTCAGAATATTGACCAGCATCGGAGAGTATAGTTAATAAAGGGAGCGAGACGGAAAATATCCACAATAGTTACCCTTTAGTCTACTTGGCCTGCTGAACTGTAAGTTAAAAGAGACAAAAATGATAACAGGACTAGCACGGCCACATCTATCGAGACTATTGAAGCTTATTGACATTGGACATTTCACATTCACATTTGCTTGCCGATCTATCAACCCTGTTTATTTGTTTATATATACTATCACCAAATACCTCTTCTCGGACGCGCTGAATATGGCTCGTGCTCACATAATTAATCTACATTCATTAGCCGGTTAAAGTTTAGCAAGGATGATCTCAAAACGCTCTCAAGTGCTACATTGTATACCCTCCCATTGACTTTCTGACTATTTTTTAGGATACGATTGAATTGAGACGCGAAGACGACCTAAAAACCAATTTAAAAATTCAGAATCATATGTTTCTCGTTTCATTTCTTAAATCGGATGGAATTATTCAAAATAGAATAGAAAATCCTACCCAGAAAGTCATTGGGAGGGGGGTGTCGCATCTGGAATAGGCTGAACCTTCTATGTATAATGGCAGAGCGTTATTAAGCAAGGTTAAGATAGTTTACTACTTATTGACATATTCCTGTGATAAGTTTTGAAGGAACAACTGCGCTCACACTGATCAAGGACAAGAATCTACCAATATTTCAGACAAGCAATGTTTATTGGTACTCCTGAGATGCATCCTATCCCAAAGACGGCCAGACTCTTAGCCAAAAAGACTTTTGCTTTCGTGCTTTAGAGGTTCGTAGTCTTGATATGCGTAGGCTATTGGATGCTTTTTGGGTGCCTTTAGCGTGTTTGTTTTGCTTGAGGCGCCCTGTGTTTGTTATGACTGGCACTGCCTTTGGTGATTTGGTTGAGGCTGGGTATGTTTGCTTTGGTTGGAGGAGTCTGTGTTTGCTTTGATTGAGGGAGCCTGTAGTTACTTTGACAGGTGTTGTCTTGTTGTTGTGTTTCTTTATCCCATAATTTTCTCTGTTTTTCTGTTATTTGCTTTTTATTTTTTTCTTTTGTTACTTCTTAGTTGCTGCGTGTTGGGGAGAAAAAGGAAAAGAAAAGTAAAAAGTCTATTGTTTATCGAAGGCACTCGCGAGTAAAGGGCGAAGGGATGTGCGATCAGTGGTTTTTGACATCGCTCTGAAGTGAAACCAATTTGCGATTTCAAAGTATTGAGTGAATAATGGATATGCTTTTTTGCGCTCTAGAACATGTGTGCAAAAAAAAAAAAAAAAAAAAAAAAAGAAGAAGCGGCATAGCGGATATTAAAATTGGATAATCAGTGCACCTGTGATATCATCCGTCGATTTTCATATGTTTGCAAGGTGGAGAAAGAAAAAACTCTCACGGGTGAAGGTGGGATGGAAAGAGCATTAATAACATTCTATCCTCAATGATCTGCAAAATCATACAAACAACAACCTGCCTGTCTACAAACAAGAGCACGAGCCACATTGCTCTCTTTGCATGGTGTACAACAAAGAGAGACTAAAGGACAGTGAGCAGTGTGATGCGACTAAAGTAAAAGGACAGGATTCAATGCACAATAGCTTATCAACACTCGCATACTCCCATTTTTCACCAGCATTAAGCTCGAGTACCTTTTTTTTTTTTTTGCTTGGCAATGGGGCCCATCAGGCACTACCAGTCTAACTTTCTACTTAATTCTCTTCTTCTCTTCTCCCTCTTCATTTCTAACAAGGAATAGGATAGACTATTGTGAGAACTGTGCTTCGCCGAGCAGATTCTTTTTCTTTTTTTCCTTTTTTCCTTTTTTTCCTTTTTTTCCTTTTTTTCCTTTTTTTCCTTTTTTTCCTTTTCAGAACGCCAAAGAGATACGACACGTCATTCCTTCGATACGATTGTGTGCTTTTATAAATTTTCGATACATAAATGTTGGTATATCTATACTTTATTTCACCTTCAGACAAAGGAATTATAAACGCACCGCCTAATCAGCTATTCACTAATCTTTATATATTCTATATTGCCTTGCATGAAAATAAAAAAATAAAAAACAAAAAATAAAAAAAAGGCGCAGAAGTATTCTGAGGATTGTCATGTGTTATTTTCTATCACACTCTGGAAAAACGCCAATCTGCCGAAGTACAGTTCATCCCATCTCTTGTTAGGGCCGAAGAAAGAGAATAGAAGAAGAGGATTGAGAAGATGATTCCCTTTACCAACAAGAGTAAATAACTCGAGATCAATGTAGCTCATGCTCTGGTTGGTTGTGGACAGGCCTTTATTGCGAGTCTTGAAGACAGAGTGTTTTTCCCATCTCTAATCGTGAGAGTCTCTTCATTATCATATGAAATATGACAGATGACATCAAAGACACGTATATTTTTTATTTTTTATTGTTGTTGTTTGCATTTTATTGGTCGCTCTTGAGCGTACAGCAAGCAAGGTACTTAGTACATCGTGCTTTTGAAATCCAATCACTTCTCCTCTTCTTTCGCGAACATAAAAAATAATAAAAAAAGCCAATTTTGACTCTCTTCTTTTTTTTTTTTTCTTTTCTCTTCTCTTTCTCTTCGGTCTCCTCGACCATCGGCCTCCTCAACCAAGATTAAAGGTAAGCAACACTCTCCAAATACACACTCCTACTGAAGTTCTCAACCTTCTTGCTCTGTGCTGCACTGTTCTTGTTCTGATGTTTCTTTCCCTGCCTATCTCTTTCTTTTCATTCCACAATTAGACTGTAAACGACATGAACCCATAGAAAGCAGCTGGAGCTTTATAGCTCACAGCGAAGCTGCCGCATCCAAACAGCCGTGCTCAAACAAACAGCCGCCGCATCCAAACAGCCACGCTCAAACAGCCACGCTCAAACAGCCGCGCTCAAACAGCCGCGCTCAAACAGCCGCCGCACCCAAACAGCCGCACTCAAACAAGCAGCTGTATCCAAACGGTCCTGCTCAAACGGCCCTAGACAAATGGCCGGGCTACCACATTCGATCAGCTCTTAATGACCAACCGGCCAGCCCGCCTCCTGGGCATGATGACTAGATGGCAAAGGCCTCTCGAGCAACTCCATAATGGCCAGACCATTTCCCACAGCACACCCTAAAAGGCGCTGGTACTGAAAGCTCGGCACCACTAGCTGAAGAACGAAACCAAAAAAAGGCCGAACAATCCATGAAGCCAAAACAAACGCCTCCAAAAAAAAAAAAAAAAAAAAAAAAAAAAAATCCAAAATCACAAAGAAACAAAAAAAGAAAACAAAGAAACAAAAGAAGAAACAAAGAAACAAAAAAAGAAAACAAAGAAACAAAAGAAGAAACAAAGAAACAAAAAAAGAAAACAAAGAAACAAAAGAAGAAACAAAAGAAGAAACAAAGAAACAAAAAAAGAAAACAAAGAAACAAAAGAAGAAACAAAAGAAGAAACAAAGAAACAAAAAAAGAAAACAAACAAAAAACAAGAAAAATCAACGATGAAAAATAAATAAAGATAATTCAAAGAAAAAAAACCAAAAAAAAAAAAAAAAAAAAAAAAAAAAAAACACCAAATAAATTAATCTTAATCCAAGAAAAGAAAAATAAAAAAAGTCAAGAAAAGAAAAGCCAAAAAAAAAAAAAAAAAAAAAAAAAAAAAACATAAATCAGAAAAACATAAAAAAAACAAAAAAAAACCTCAAGCCAGAAAAACATAAAAAAAAACTCTTACTAACACAAAGCACTCTTAACATAGCAACAATGCACATCCAAGATGCAACAATCGATGCATATCTAAGGTGGGTCCGAACGGGCATGAGCCTACGCTGGTTCTTGAATGAGCCATGCGGTGGCGGAGCCTCTTCGACTGGGAAAGGGAATGGGAATGGGAATGGGTAAATATATGTGTGTGTGTGTGTGCGGGCGTTTGCAAGGCCATGGGGCCTGACCAACGGAGCACGATATGCCAGACCACCTCCACGTGGTGTGCTCCGGACAACATCTTGGAGAGACTTTTCGATGGTGACAAAGGAAAGCACTTTCCAAGGTGGCTAAGAGTCTGGCTTCTTGTAGCTTAGAATAGTAGCCAGGTAAGTTAGATAGCTAGATAGCAAGCAATCCATTAATAAAACAGTGTAAAAAAAAAAAAAAAAAAAGCGTTAAAATGCACTCTGAAAATTGAAAATTTAGTATAGATGATAGCAAGGTGAACTTGTTACCATACTGTCTAGAAAAGTGTTTGTGAAATCTGATCCTAGTCTGTCGAGCCGAGCTGCGGACTTTCATCTAACAAGTGATGGCTGAACTACTTTTCTAGGCCTATAGCTGAATGAATCCTTGTGAGAGCTGTAGAAGGCTGAGGAAGAGAGGAATTAAACCGAGGTGTTGTAGTGGCTGTTCTCGATGAAAATAATAATAATAATAATAATAATAATACTTTATGGCCATTTCGGAACATTCTTACAATATGGCTTCATTGTTGCACTCATAACACTGCCCATTTGTAAAGTAACTGTCTTTTGCTCAAGATCTACGATAACATTTTTTATTTTGTTAATGCCGCTGAATGGTAACATTGTGGGATTGGAGCAACTTTGTTACTAAACTGCATGTGTCTGGATCGCTGCTCACAACCCCATACAAATCTTTGATACTCGGCCAATTGCTTACAATCCACGTTGCATCCTCAAGCTGCATTTGTTGATGCTTATCGCGTAAGAAAAATAAATTAAGTAGACTCTTCAGGTCGACTAGTTCATCTAGACCCGCTCTTAGCCTCAAGTCTAGTGTCTTGATTTTCTCCGATTGTGAAAACCAATCTGTCAGCTCAAGGATCCTCAGTCGAGTCAACCTGCCTATTTGTCTAAACACAACACGCTGCATCTCCATGCCTTCTGTAGTCTCTTGATTAACATCTGCTTCAAGGTCGATGGCCAAATGTATGAGGCCGGTACTGGCCCATTCTGCGCCACAAGTAATCTCTTTCACTGTAGCCCTAGACCCCTTCAGGCGCTTCAGATGTGGACAATTGGATAGGATCGCTTGAACAATGCCATCAGTTCTTTCAGTTTGTCTATTGATTCCAGTGATTCAACAGTAACGCAGAGCCTCTGCTCTCTCCTTTTCAGTACTATGTATCCATCCTCAAGAACCTCCTGCTCCTCTGCTAGTAATTCCCGCATGGAGAGCTGTCCAAACTCACAGTTGTGAGCATGTAGTAGCCTAAGGTCCGTCAACTATCTGAGTATCACCGCCATGTCCTCGTCTTTTATATCCACGCGGTAAAGGTGTAGCTCTGAGATATTTGTCAGTGTGCAGGGCCGGTGAAAGAATGCCGCCCTGTAGAAGTCAATGCCTATTTGCTTTATCTCTATGGCCTCAGGGACCCCTTGAGGGGGATAGAAGAGCAATGATGCTAATCCTGGACATCTCCTAGTCCACATGCCGAGACAATATGACGATGTATGCGGATATGGAGGGTTGAGTATTTGGATATTATCAACGATTAATTTCACAATTGGAAAAACAAATGTATCCGTGTCGTCGCTCAAGAAGTTGGCAGGGAGATGAGAGACCGTTACAGTGTGTATTTCCAAGCGTCTAAGTTTCTTGCAGACTCGAAAAAATAGATCGACTTCTTCTTCGATTATATTCGAGCTGTTAATCTCCAAGATCCTAAGGTTGGTGCATTCCAGCAGTACCTCCCATATTTCTCCCAAACCCGAATACTCGTACATAACCGAAAAGTGAGTGATTGTGGTTCTATGGGTCTTAATGAGCTCGAGAAGGTCGTTCGAGATTGAAGAATGTGTCGGTATTTGGTAGCTGACCCGCTTGAGGCGGCTACAGTCTTTCAATGACCTGTAATCTTCTGATAGGCGAATAAAAAAATGAAGCTCCTCGATGTGCTCCTTGTTGTTCTGTAGTGCTCTCCCTATGGGATACCCTGAATCATCTTCCACAAAAATGCGCTTTCATATGGATCCGACAAGTGTGTTGTGGAAAGTCTTTGAGATGCGAATACAATTAATGATGTCGTCTTGACCCAAGAAATCGCCAACAAGTGAGATGATCTCTGGAATCTCCAAAGGATTCAGTTTGATGTCGCCCGTCATGCAATGAGAGATGATGGGATGGAGTTAAGATTGTCCTTCCTTTTTTTTTAGTAGTGATGGTGGTATTTCGTAGTGGATAGAGGTGGTCATGGTGGAATAGAACTGCAAACGTACTGACTCGCTCCTGCCACGCCCTTTGCCCCCATGTTCTACCGCGCCCTGCAAATTTGTGCTGAACTTTTTTTTTTAGCCCTTGACCGACTTTCCTTCATGAAAATAAGTCTTTATCAGCTGAGCACCAGCGATTAATGGATTCCTCATGGGAAATTGCATATATTCAACAGTTTCCATGCTATTTGAAAGGACTTTCGTTGTTTCATATTAATTTTACTGGTTTGCAAACTTCATATTTCAGTCGTCAGCATAGATATCTAGTTTCACTCAATACTTCTGAATATTCTAAAACAGGTGTGCTACAGCGTAAACTCGCTACTCTTCAAAAACTGGCTCTGGCCCAACGCAGTTTGACATGCTTTTACTAGAAGCGACTAGATCCAGTACTTAACTTTACTGTTTATCATGATGTATGATCCGGGGTATCATGGAGAAGAGACCGGGTTGGTCGGGCTAAAAGACGGACTGGCTGCGTTGTAGGATGGGTTATAGGGTGGGCTATAAGACGGGCTAACTGGGCTGTCGGATGGGTCATAAGACGGGGTGGCTGGCCTGTAGGATGGGCTGTAGGATGGGCTGTAGGATGGGCTGTAGGATGGGCTGTAGGATGGGGTGCTGGAGAACTCTCTAGATCCATAGAAACTCTTCAGACGTGGACAATTGGATAAGATCGATTCAGCAACATCTTCAGTCTTTTTGCTGTATATTTTGAAGTCCAGCACCTCAACTGTATCGCAAAGCCTCTGACTCCTTCTCTTTAGTACTTTACGTCCGTCTTCCAGGCTCTCTTGCTCTTCTGCTAGCAATTCTCGAAGGGAAGCTGGGCCAAAACCACAATGTGGAGCACGTAGTTGCCTTAGTTCAGTCATCTGTCTGAGAAGTGCCGCCAGATCCCCGTCGTTTAAATACATGGGACCGTAGATATCCACTACTGATGCCTCGCCTCGGCGGCAGTCAATAAATAGCTCTGATAGATTTGTCAGTGTGAAGGAATGATGAAGGAATGCTGCCGCGTACAAATTGCTTTGATATCCATCAAGTTGCAGTGACTGCAATCCCGGACATCTCTTAATAAACATGCTGAGGCAATACTCTGACGTCTCCGATAGAGGCAGGTCTATATCGACATCCCAAAGGGCTAGTGTGGTCACATTTGAGAAGATGAATTTGTCCGTGTTGTCGCTCAAGAAGTTGGAAGGAAGCCCATCGAGATATACATTTTGCATATCCAAGCGCTTAATCTTCTTGCAGATTTGAAAAAATAAATCCACGATATCACTGCTTAGTCTCATACGACAAACGGTTAGGTCCTCAAGATGGATGCATTCTAGTGCTGCTTCCCATATCTCTCGTAAAGTCGATTGCTTAAATGATAGCTTCGTAATTGTGGATCCGTGAGCCTTGATGAGATCGGGAAGATAGGAAAGATAGGACAGGTCATAATATTCTCCCATAATATAACTGATGTGTTTGAGGCGATCAAGCCCTTTCAATGATATATATACGTCGGGAAACCTATGAAGAAACCCAAGCTCTTCAATATATTTCTTATATTCCTCCACCATTTCCTTAGTAAAATGTCTTGTGCGATGGCAAACGAGGACTTTTTTCCAAATGAATCCGACAAGAGTATCGTGAAAGGTCTTGGAGACACGAATACAACGTAGAAGGTCCTTCCGGTTTAGGAAGCCACCAATAATCAAAATGATTTTTGGATTTAATTTGAGGTTGTCCATCATGCAAAAAGGGATGGAATGGAGTTGAGATTATCTTTTCTTCTTTCTTTTTTAGGTGGTGATGACACTTTGTAGTGAGCATGGTGAATTGGCTCGCAGTAAACTTGTGATGCTTGATTGAAAGTAGTCGCATGTGCTCGAGGCTCAGTTAGACATCAGTCAATTATAGAGGGTTCCGTTTGATATGATTTAGCACTGCGAAGTTTGGACAGTTTAATTTTCTTGTCCAGATGTACACAGATTTAGAGCGGTCTTCGCCTTTCAAGCTATACGGATACTTTACAGCCGTTGCGCTGGGCTCCCTCATTAATTGATAGCTTGTGGGATACAGAAAGTTTTCTTTCGTGGTTCAAGTGATTTCCCCCTGGATTGGCGCTTGCAATGTTTTAACCTAATTGATATAACTTACTATGTAATATGGAACTAAAGTTCAATAGGACAAAGAGAGGGTTCTTTATTTCTGGACAGACGATATCTTATGTACTGTAAGATCTCGTCTGCCCCACGTGAGTGGTAATTTGAATCATCGTATACGCTATATGGGTCTATATGGTGCAGCGCTTATATCGCTCATGATAGTGGATCTGGTTCGTGATTTCTTTGATACTGTATTCTCAAAATTGACGCAAGAATGCCTAGGGATGGATCCGTGAAGCCAATAGAAATTTTGTCCTCGCGAATAGAGGTGAACCTTTGAGTAGATTCATATCAGCGCCCATGGACACAAGATTGTGATTTACTTGTTGTACACAAAAAAAATTAGCCAATTTAACCAATTTAACTGATCAAAGAAATTTGGAACATTGGCCAAATAAATAGGCCAAATAAATAGGCAAAAAGACAGCCACCAAATAGGCCATAGACACGCATTGCGACTCCTGAATGTCCCTTGGTACATTTCACTCTTCTGACCTTTCTCACTTACACAATCACACAATTGCACATACACATAACCACACGATCACACACACACATAATCGCGCACACAATTACAATCACTCACACATTCGTACATCATGAAGCAATCTGAAATCTCGCAGTCACTCACTTTGTCACAGTATGGTGAGCAACCTGGCCAAGTTTTTGCTGCAACGGATTCCTCTTTCAAAGCGTCGACTTCGACTGCAAAGGCATCCAAAGAACGCTTCACAAAGCAGGATATCGAGAACATTCTGACATGGTTAGAGCGTCCCCCAAATTTCAAGTCAGTTTTTGGTTCTGAAGCTCAAACAGTTCTCGGCATGCCTCGACAGGCCTCCAGTCAAGGCTGGGCAACTTTGGCACAAGTTGTGTCGAAGCAAAACAAAGGTAGACTCTCACTAAACACCAAATCTATGCGCGAGCGTTTCCATCGACATCTTAAGCTTTTTACAGAAACTAAAAAGTTGGAAAACCAGACAGGATTTGGTGTGACTGACGAGGATCACAAAAAAGGGATCTACACAACTAAGCAGAAGCTCGAAAAGATGTGCATCTGCTACGCGAGAATGGATGCTCTCTTTGGTCATAGGTTAAATATCACTCCTCTGTTCAAATTAACCACCGGATTGCAAAATGGTTCAGGAAGTGGCAGGGAAGCCATCGAAAAGGTTTCACGTCATCGATTGATCGTCGAAGAGGAAGAGGGGAAGGAGGAGGAGGAGGCTGTAGGTTTCAACAAACCGATTGGAAATCAAGAAGCGACTGAGGATGGCCAGTTTCTTGGAGATACCACCCTAGTTCATACCACCTTTGATGATAGCCTTTATGATAACTCTAGTACTGGCATTGATTCTGACTTGGGAACAAAAGGAGAGGGCATTGACCTCAATGATGACAACAACAAGGATTCTGATATAGACGACATAAGTGACCTTTCCATCTCTTCCACCTCATCGCCTGTGCTGCATAGTAAACGGAAGCGGAAATTGCCCGGTATTGAATCATTGCAGTCTCCGATCTCCAGGAAGTGGTCCCAAGGAATAGAAGAACGCAGAAAAGGACCATCACTAAATCCGAGTGGTTCTTCGAAGATGCCAAGGAAATCATTCCACTCAGCTTTTGAGCTTCTCAACAACAGAAAACTTAGTGGTAAGGCCTAAACAATCAGTTGAGGCAATTTTATTTTTTATAATCAACGTATACAATTGATATGTATTCTAATATTTTTCATCTAAAGCCAAAGAAAATCTAGAATTGAAGAGGCTGGAGCTGGAGGAAATGAAGATTAGAGAGCAAATGACGCTCGAGAAACAAAAATTGGAAAGACAAATCCAGAAACTTGAACTTGAAAAACAAAGGATGGAGAAAGAGGATGAGCGAGAGAAGCAAAAGATGGAGAAACAGGATCAGCTTGAAAAACAAAGGATGGAGAAAGAGATCAAATTACAGACTATGCAGTTGATGCAGGCAGGGATTGAAAAAGGCATGTCCATCGTGCAGATTCAGTCATTAATAAATTTGCTTCATTAATTTGTCATCTTTAATTTGATCTTTAATTTTGCAAAGGTAATAATCCCTTTGCATAATTGATTTTCAAAGTGATTTTCTTCAAATCCTCTCTGAAATTATGGGTACTCTTCTCTATTTCTTCCTGATGGGGTGCTGGATCACCTTCTTCGAAAATGTTCTCCAAGTACATTTCCCCCCACGTATCTGTGAGACTTACGAGCATGTTATGGAGTACACAGCATCCCATTACCCATCGAACTAGCATCCGCATATCTGCCTCAATTCAAAGTTGATGCCTCATTTCCCGTAAAGAACCCCATCGAGACTTCAGGATTCCGATGCAATGGATTGGGCCGATATGCTTATAGATCAAGCGCCCCTCGTGAATGCATTCAAATTATGTATTGAGCTTCACACCAAAAACCAAAAGTTGCGCTTATGGTCCAGGTAATTTTTTATATGAACACTTGCTTAGAATAAATAATAAAATGAAGAAAAGGGAAAAATCAATCATCGAAATATTTATATGCTGATAAAGCATCCAAGAGTATCACCCGTAGGATGGAAAATCTCCGTGAAGAGATAGCGGCTGGTAACAGCATCGAGAGCTAGTGCTCTCTCTCTGCTACGAGAAAGAGACAATCAGATTTCCTTGAACTTCGCCCAATCTCCTGGCTAATTGAGCTAATAAGTGCATTTTTCCTGACATCGCAAATTATGGAAAACGCAACAGGAGAAAAAAAGAAAGAAAATAGAGAGGGAAAGAAAAGAGAATAGACAAACGAGCTGATACACGAGCCAGAAGTTCAAAGACTAAGATGACCATGGTGGACAGGAGAGTTATCTGGGTCTATTCACAACTTATTTCGTTATGTTTGTAACTATCGTTTACAGCAACTCTATTCGAGATGGTTCCCTCAACGAGATAAACGAGCCCATAAGATAGAACATTGGACTAGTGCAGCCATCAGTGAAGCCACGGGTCGCCCGTCTAGATACTGCTATTGCCATTATTATTATTTTCGATGATCAACTTGGCTGGTACGATGTATTTTCCGCTGGTGTATTGTTCCAGCGTTATGGTGAACCCTAATTCAAAAATATCCTGGGACATGTGCTCTAGACCAACGGTACAAATGCAAGTGAAAATCATCATGATTAGTTCAGATCTGACAAAAACCCTTCTAAGTCCCGGTGTATCGAAAAGCTTTACAACTCCTCCTTTCAACTACATTTACATTATATAGCAGAAATGGATAGTCGAACAATATTTCTCCAGCTGTCTCTGACGGGGACTACACACTACAAATTGATCTCTCAAGTGCAGGATACTGATACGGTTATGGCTTTATTATTTACTCAAGATGTTCAGCTCCCTAGTTATTTCCCCAACTATAGCTTCCACTATGGGGAGAGGAGGCAACAAGGTACATGTATATATCATGTCTAGTTGTAATCAATGCAATATTCATCCGAAAGACTAGTAAACAGTGCCCTTAGGTGAAAATACGACCAGTAAATGTAGCTTAAACACACCAAGCTGAGGTATGCACATGTACATGCATGCAATAAGCACGTTAAGGCAAGCAAGATGCAGGGGTCAAAAGAAAGACATTTATAGACGGGTCTAGTAACGGTATTTTCTAACTCTTTTCACTTCAAACTCCAAGGGGCAAAGTCGGGAAGAAGAAGGGGAAAAAAAAAGAGGTTAGTGTATACAACCGTTGGAAATGAAGAAATCCCTCATCTTCTCATTCTCTCATCCTCTAATCTTCTCATCCTCTCTTCATCCATTGAAATGACAGAACAAAAATACCAACAATTCCGAAAGGTCGACAACGACAGTATTGAAAAAGTTTGTGTCAGAACTAATTCCGTCTCTACAAGCAATGGCGGCTCGGCGTATTGTCTGTGGTTACAAGACATTCGAGAGGTCTTTCCGGATGCAGCGCGATTCAAACTGGATGGACATCCCATTCCATTCCTTTTAGACGTTGATGGCAACAAGTATGTTGTATAATTTACCGTGACGCCTTTTTCAATTGCTTTTATTAAGAGAAAATGGGTGAACTCAATTGACATATTCTTTTTTCTTTTGTTCTGTTAGAATCGAACCTCCACGCATTGCATTCTACCCTGACAAGATCTTAGATGTTATTGCGGAAGTACCACAGATCTGCAGCTGCAGCAGCAACAGCAATAACAACAACAGCGCCATCATCACATCAAGAAATTCAACAAATCTATCCTCCTCTCAAGACCTTTTACCACTATCAAGTCCGGCTCAATCTTCCAACTCTTCTCTCGCTACCTGCAATAATGGACAAAGCGAAATGATAAGTCCTAGCCTTGAAAAGGCTATGGAGTTGCTACAAGAGGTCAAAGGGAGGGGTGACGAAATGCTTAAACTGCAATCGGTGATTTTTGAACTGCAAGCGGAAATGCTTAAACTGCAATTGGAGGCTAGAGAGAAGGATGAAATGATCATTAGTTTGCAACATCAGGCTCTTGACACAATTGCTACCCTTCAAAAGCATGCTAATGCTATCCTTACCCAGAACTTTGAACTTCATGAGTACCCAATCCCTCGACTCTTTATAATTTTACCTGTCGACGCTGCCAAGTGGGATCCAATGAATGTTTTGAGGAACAAGTTCCGTCTTCATTTCCTCTGTGAATGCGGTGAACACACTGTAAACACAAGCAAGAGCAGCCATAACCAAATCCATATTGCCAAACATGACGGGTATGAAATTCAAGACAGCAGAGAGCTCTTTCACAAATATGGAAAGTACATACTCATCCTTTTACAATGGCTTAAGCTGGGAATGAGAACATACTCAGCTGCTTCTCTAACACCAGCCTCAAATCTGGTCGATGCCGGTATCAACTATTCAATCGACTATATGAAGGCACTCTCTACTGAATATCTAGCCTTGAACAATATAAACGCAATCGACGACTATGAAGGACTCGAAGGACCTGATCTCCAACAACTGGGCACATTCCTTCAAATCAACAAAGAAAACAAGCAGCTAGGCAACTTGTACAGGATCACGACCGAAACAGGCCATGTTAAATGGGTTTGTTTTGAACACTATCGTTCAATGTATAAAGAAGTAGAGCAGAAAGTGTATGCAAATGCAGTGGAGATGAATGGAGGCAAATACAACTCGCATCTTGGTAAAGCAACTGTCATACTGAGGTCCAGAACCAGAGCTGAAGAGTTCTTCGATGTACTGGCAAATGCAAGACGTGCATACGAGTTGGATATCACATTCGACTGGGATTGGACCAAGACTGATCTTGTGGAGCTTGAGGAGGCACTAAAGACCTCAAATGTATCAATTCTTCGGCTTGACCTCGGAAAGTCTCAAGAAAGTATAACCAAGAAAATACTTTCAACATCCACACGATATGAAATCCTTGTTCGTATCATGGAATTGAGCAACATGAAGGTCATCCACATCGTTTTATCCCCGGACCTCATAAAGCTTTCTAGTTTACAGCCCAAAAAATCATCACACCTCCATAAGCTGTCCCTTGAGATGAAGCCTCAAAAGATTGGGACTAGTGAATTCCGTGTACTTGTAAATTCACTCAAGACCAACACCAATTTGATCACTTTGGATCTGGATGGCAGTTCGGTCCGGAACGAAGGAGCCCTGGCACTATCCGAGGCGCTCAAGGCTAACACGACTTTAACCACTTTAAGCTTGAGAAAGACTACAATTGGGAGTAAAGGGGCTCTTGCGCTGTCAGAGGCACTCAAAGTCAACATGGCTTTGACCACTTTGAACTTAGAGCACAACATAATTGGAGACGAAGGAGCTGTGGCACTGTCAGAGGCGCTCAAGGTCAACACTGCTTTGTCCACTTTGAGCCTGAATGGCAGCTCAATTGGGAAGGATGGGGCTCTAGCGCTGTCAGAGGCACTCAAGGTTAACAAAGCTTTGGTCACTTTGGAAATGAAGGAAAATTCAATGGGAAAAGAAGGAGTCGTTGCACTGTCAGAGGCGCTTAAGACTAATACGACACTGACGACCTTGAACTTGGAGGCCAACTCAATTGGAAAGGAAGGAGCCCTGGGACTGTCGGAGGCACTCAAAGTCAATACAACCTTGACCATTTTGAAATTACAGCACAACTCAATTGGGCCAGAAGGGGCTCTAGCACTGTCAGAGGCACTCAAGATTAACACAGCTTTGAATATTTTGGAAATGAAGAAGAATTCAATTGAAAACGAGGGAACTCTGGCGCTGTCCGAAGCACTCAAGACTAATACGACATTGACCACGTTGGACTTGGAGCAGAATTTGATTGGAGATCCAGGAGTCCTTGCCTTGTCGGAGGCGCTTAAGGCTAACACGGCCTTGACTACTCTGAATCTGAGGTGGAACTTAATAGGAGATGAAGGAACTCAGGCACTGTCAGAAGCACTCAGAGCTAACACAGCCCTGACCGCTTTGGGATTGGGGTTCAACGCAATTGGGAAGGAAGGAACTCTAGCATTGTCAGAAGCACTCAAGACTAGTCCTACTTTGACAAGCTTGAACTTGTGGGGTAACGCAGTTGGAGATGAAGGAGCTCAGGCACTGTCAGAGGCACTCAAGACCAACACGACGTTGACCACTTTGGTCTTGTATTACAACGCGATTGGGAATGAGGGAGCTCAGGCATTGTCAGAAGCACTCAAACTTAACACGACTCTGATCAACTTGGATTTGTGTTTCAACGAAATTGGGGATGCAGGAGCTCTTGCGCTGTCAGAGGCGCTCAAGACTAACACAGCCTTGACTATCCTGAAATTGAGGAGCAATGCAGTTGGAAATGAAGGAGCTCTTGCGCTGTCAGAGGCACTCAGGGCTAACACAACCTTGGCCATTTTGGAATTGGAGAGCAACAGGATTGGAAAGGAAGGCGCTCTGGCACTATCAGAAGCACTTAAGATTAATAAGGCTTTGCTCCTTCATAAATGAGTATACCCTTAATCAATTACTAAAAAGCCCTGGCTACTCGACTTATTAAACTGAGTAGCTCAGATACGAAGCTTTGTTCAAATAACAACTACTGTAGTATATAGAAACCTCTATACAAGGGTATCATTAATATAATTAATAAAGATGTAATCATAAAAACCGCTGTTACATGTACCATGCTTGTAAATCCTTGCTTAATTTTCCCTGTGCCTTTTGGCTCACTGTTTCTCAACCACACAGATCTAAATCTAGCGAAGTACTCGCGTGAGCCTCTCTTCAAGCGCAACGTAACCAAATAAGTTTTGATGGCTCCTCTATCTGATAAGGAGAATTGTAGTTAACTATGTAACTCCATTGGCAAGCCTCCTCTGCTCAGCTGGACCGAATCAAAGTGAGGAGAGAAACGAAAGGGTCATTGCAAAACGAAGTGAGTTGTCATGTTTGTTGGAACAGAAGCTGCTATTTAACAAAATAGACATGTCTATCCTAGTTTAGAGTTGGAGAGGCTCATCATCCAGGGGAATCTAAGCCACATAAAGGTCCCTGACTAGGATAATGATCGAACCGTCATCTCAACAGGATACCCATGTTAGCGACTCTTAAAAAAAAAAAAAAAAAAAAAAGTGGGTGATACATCAGCTGTGAATGAGGGAATTCTTCATCTCATCTACCGAAACTACAGGGTAAAAATACCAGCCTCAGGTCTTGGTGCTGGTATCGATTATTCAATCAAATATATGGAAGCGCTCTCTAAGGGAAATTCAGTGTTGAACAGCATCAACACAATCGATAACTAAGGGGCACTTGAAGGAGCTGATCTTCAACTGCTGAGCACGTTCCTTAACCAACGATGAAAATAGAAAACTCGGCAACTTGTACAGAACACGGCCGAGGCAGGCCATGTCAAATGGATTTGTTTTGAACACTATCGCCCGAGATATCGAGGAAAAAAAAGAAAGAAAGAAAGCCTTTAAAGATGCAGTGGTGACGAATGGAGACAAATATAACGCATCTCGGTAAAATAGTTATCACTTTGAGATTCAGAAACAGAGCTGAAGGATTCATTGGGGTGCTGGCCAATGTGAAGTGTGTTTACGGGTCGGATACCGCATTCAACTGGGATTGAGCTAGAACTGACCTTGAGGCGTTTGAACATGTACTAAAATCGTCAAGTCTACCGACATTTCAACTCTAACTTGAAAGGCCTCGGGAAAGCATTACCGATAAATTGCTTTCAATACCCACGCGGCATGAAACCCACCCTTGTTCGCGCCATAGAACTGAGCAACATGAAGACAGTCCAAATTGTCCTATTCCAGATTTAACAAATCTTCATAGTTTACAACTCAAATGGCTATCACGCCTTCATAGGCTCTCCTTAACGATGAAGAGTCGATTGATTGAGACTAGTGAGTTTTGAGTGCTTACAAACCCACTCAAGGACAACACCACTTTGGCCGCTTTCATTTTGGGAGATAACTCAAATGAGAAAGAAGGGGGTCTTGTACTCTCAGAGGCACTCAAGACGAACACTTTTTGAAGCTTTGATCTTGCTCTACAACTTAAGTGGGAGAAAGGACCTCTGGGTCTGAAAAAAAGTTAGATCAAAAAGTAAAAAAAACCGAAATTCTAATGAAGAGAAGCGCTACATTTAATCCGAAGATCTGCAGTAGATAGCCATATCGATCTCATTAGCGAAAGCGTAAATTTTAATGTTGGTTGATGAAGTATATATCTATACGTATTGCGAATGGGCTGTTTGTCAGAGGGCCAAAATATTAGAATAACCCATTTTGATCATTCTTCCTTGCAGGTGACTGAAAAAAGCCAAAGGGACTCCAAAATAAAAGTATGAAATTACATGTTTGCATGTCCTTTTGTTGAGAAATCTAAAGGCTTGGGCTATTTACGCCCTTGCAAACTCAATTAACTTTATTTGTTTGTGTACTGGTGTACTGGATGGATATGGACTATGGCTATAATGAACCAATACTACAGACGTGAACTAGTAATATGAAAAATTGTTTTTTTTTGTTCTAGACATTCAACTTGCCATCCCTAACCTGGTCTAGCCATCCATAGCACATCTTTTTGATGTAATCATATTGCTTGCAGTATTCTGTTCCCCCCAAGTCGTAACATCCAAAAGCAACTTTGTCATCTTTGCCATTAAGTGTTTTCACTTCATTAGGGGCGAAGGTTCCATGATCTACACCATCAGTAGCACAAGACCAGCTTTTAAATCCGCTTTTAATATCCATCCTTCCTCTGCTGTTCTTTTTTGTGTAAACGTCCGAAAAGTCATTGTGCCAACCGGTCTGTGCAATGATAATGCCATTTGGATCTGCGAGGACAGCATCGATATCCCAACCAAATCCTACGTTCCGTCGTCTGTAACAAGCCCAATGGCTAGCAAAGACTGAATTCAGGAGCAACAAGGGAACCAAAAGAGCATAAGGAATGATCATTTTGAAGATTGTTAAGAATGGGTACTAGATGTGTTGAATAAGAATAATAATAGAAATAAGATAGATGGTGGTTTTTTTAAAAATCATTAGTTATAGATGTTAACAAACATCACTTTAATCATAATGCGAAAGCCAATAATAATCTTACGAGAACCTGGCTTGATCAAGGGATGTGAGAGCTTCTGTAAACGTTCTTGATGAGGTTCTGGTGAGAGTTCTGTGAGAGATAATCTGTGTGACAACTCTTACAAGGAAATGGAGGGGTATTAATGTTTTCCCAAGAACTTGTCAGTCCGTATCACGGGTTCAAGTAAAAGCTGGACTGTCAGACAAATAGTACACAATAGAGTTGGGCTGTTGTGCATGGGCAGACAAATAGACGGGTGGTGAGGTGAGGATAGGATGTGGGTCCACACACCACATTTATTAAAAGATATGTAAAAAAATAAAAATAAAAAATAAGAACAGTGATAGAACTTATCCATGTTGAATGTTTCTACAAAGTACACGTAATGGTTACACATGCATGCAAGGGAGCACAAACAGTTTTTTTAAATTTCTGGGTCTTGATCTGTCATACACTACAGCACGCTCCTTTAATTTCTTGTCATCTTATAAGCGTTCTATAAAATATGCAGGGTAAACGGCACAAATACAGAGTTGAGCTGTTGGGTAAACAGTACACAATAGAGTGGGCTGTTGGAAAAGCAGAATATGGACTATTGATACAAATACATATATATATTATATATTTATACATGCAAAGTTGGCTGTTGGATAAACGGCAAACACATATTCAGCAGTTGGCTGTTGGGAGCGGTTAAATGTCCGACCTGTATGAAGAAAAAAAATCTTCTCCGACATCCCTCCGTTCACGTTATTGTTTTTTTTTTTAACTCACTTTGCTTGATTTAAATATTACGCATATATTTATGCCCAAAGGCGCTTTAATGTCAGTCTTTCAAATGGGATACAGACCATTAAGAAGATGGAAAGAAAATATCATTGGGGCATTAAGCATTATTTATTGGGGATGCCTGTGTCGAGCCCGTATCAGAGCGCAAGTGAGGCTCTTCTGGATAATGGAAGGTGCTTACTTGCACATTGGGGAAATGGGTCTCAACTCTTAAGGACAACCATCCTTCTATACACCTATATAAATCCATCAATATATTTATTCGGCACCAAATCGTGAACCGGGCTCTAAAGTAATCACTGAGTTGTTTCAACCAAGCGTTCAAAACAGCGTTGCTTATTAGCCCTTTGCCGTCGTGCCTTCCGAGCATATTGAAGCAGAACTCAGTAAGCATTAAGTTATTCAGTTACTAATAAGGAGCATGACTATCATGAGACAGAAATGTATGTTGCAGTAGTAATATAGCTTTGCAGGAGGAGCTTTTCATTCGATTATCTGGTGCTTGTGCCTGGCTGAGTAGGCGATAACCCGAAGCTTTTGTCTGTTGGGTTACGGTTGAACGCATCCAAACCAGAATTTATTGATAACGCGATGATTACCTTCTTTTCGTTTTTTTTTTTTTTTTTTTTTTTTTAATTGAATATAAATGAGAACTTCGGCTCCTGAAGCAACCATGTTACACAGGGTCATAGGTGAATGTCTGTTAGTGTTGGTTAGCTATTGAAGGAGATAAACCTATTGGTCACCTGACAGGGTCTCCATTGCAATTTCTAGTGTAGAGGTTCCTCTTTTTCACCATTCGTATGGGCTCATTTTAAAGGTGAAAATCGGAATATCAATCCTTTGCTTACCTTTCCTTAGATTGACAAGGTTCATGCCACGATAATTTCGCGGAATAAGCTTTCTCCCAGACACAGACATGTATGAAAAGCAGGAGTCGATAAAAAATCAAATGACATTTTTGGATTCAATATTGGATATCGACAGCAGCGCACCAACTTTATGATCTTGAGCATCAGCTTTTGTAAGAGATGTGATCCAAGCCCATGTCCTTAAATTTCACATCATCAACTTTCCATCTGAAGCCAATGTCAAGTTAAGAGATATCACTCTAATTAAATCGATTATAATATCAGAGCAAACTACCATAGATATTTTACAGTTGGCGCTTTGCTATTTTATATATTATTGCTTAGTATTCGGTCACCTAAATCCTGAGTCATCTTTTTCAGGGAGGGCATTGTTGGCTGGTTTGCTATATGAAGAATAAAATGCAAAAGCAACATTTTCCCATATGATTTTTAGTGATTCTTACCTTTCATATCTACCTCAAGGTAAAAATTTGTTCTATAATACATGTGTTGAAGCATCTTTGGAGTATGAGCCTTTATACAAGCGAGTTAGAGCTAATAGAAAGCAAAGTATTGATTTTCCGATTTCATTTTCAGAACTAAGTAAATGACTAGGTATATTTTTCTTACCAATATCATAATAATAATGATAGATCGTATTCTCCTAAGCTAGCAGCTCTTCTAACAACATCAAAGGAAACCATGTGGTCAATGTCCACAGCGATGCGACAAGTCCTCATTGGGATATTAAGTCTAAGCCTTCATTGGAATTTTGACTCTCAGTTGAACCGCCTCTCGACCTCCCCCATTAGTAGCACTGGCACTACTAGAGATGTCCGTCTCGTTACCGGCTAATTGGTCGTGGGACCTCAGGTACCATACCTGAGTTGGTTGAAAACCATCAGGAACAATCATTTGGTCACCGACCCATTGTAGCTTACGCTACTTCATACCATCATAGTACACCCAGCGCCCCTTGATCAGAGCCATGCTCGTATAATGCCCTTGGCTCTGACTGTGGAGTATAACCCCCGCCAAATTAAGATCCTCGCCATCGAAACAAATATATCGGTCTGGGCAAACGAATGGCCCTGGAGAGTCGTGTTATGCTTGAAGGCAGTCGATAATGAGTAGTAGTGGCCATTCAACTACCTCCATTCGGGAATATGCTCGCATGCCACTGCACACATCCAGGGATTCCAACGTTCCACTGTCGACATTAAATGAAAGCATTCGCTTGCGGGATCCCTGGGTCTGCATTGGCAAAGAACAGGGAGTGTGTTCTTTCTTAACCGACATATCAAAACTTCCTTGATTAATGTGCCGTGCATTTCCCCTCATGAAAAAATAAGCAGAACTTTGTGTCTCTTTCGAACTTCGATTGGGGCATCCCTCTTCAGAACACGTCGAGTCGTAAGTGACTTTGAATGTAGCCAAGCCTTGCAAATGATCAGTAAAGGTATTCTCAACAGACCCCATAAGTCATGCTCGCCTTCCGTCAAACCTAAGATCTCTTTGCACCACATCCGTCTTGCCTTGGCGTGCTCTTTTGCTAATACCAATTTTACGACCTCTTCCAGTACGGCTCCTTCGGAGGCCGCTAAGGTAGCTGTTGAATAGCACATTCCGGAAAACCTACGTAAAAGCACCCAAAGCATAAGAGGAGCGTCTAAAGGACATGTATTGATTGCGTTGAAGTCCTCATATTGGACCTGTCATGGTATTGCGAGGCCTTCCCATTCTTCGTCGATCGCTAGCTTGGGAACTTTGTTCTTACTTCCTTTAGGGCGACTTGCTCGACGTTGCCGCTTAAATATTTCGGGGAACAGTGTCTTGTTACAATCTGGCGCGCGACCATCGTTGCTGTGGGCTGCTTTTTTTTTTTTCTCCCAGGGTACTTATAGCGGTGGTACCTTAGCGTCGATCCCTTCAAGGCTTGTTTAATATCGCGCTCGATTAGCTTCAAGTAACGGCAGCCGTAATCATACGTATCCCTGACATTCATACCCTTTTTATTAGTTGGTGCATGGCGCTTAAAGTCCCCTCCCAAACTCTCTTGGGCATTTGTATCCTTTGAGAACTTTGAAATGTCAACATTAGAAAGAGATTGGAAAATACATTTCGCTCAATTTGGATGCATGTACCAATCGATCCATTTTTTTGTCCTTGGAAAAGATTCTACCAGATCTTGAATAAGCCCATGGAACTTTTCTTCAGTGTGCTTGTCGAGAAGATCTAGACACTTGCGATTGAAAGCCAGTTCTTCTGAAGGTGGGATTACGGCAGAATTCCCCTGCACTCTCATTAAGGACCGACGGAAATGGACTTCACAGAATCTGCAGTGGTTCTCCAGCCGTACTTCATGATTGTCACCGAGCCTAAAATATTCGCGGACAGCAAGCTCAAACCCCACACGTTCCGCCTCATTGAAGTCACAGACCATTCCAGGAAAGCCCTCAGTAAATTCAATAAATGTTTTGAAAGGTAAGTATTTAAACATTGCCAGAAAATGGTGCTTATAATGCTTTTGTGTTTTCCCAAAAAGCATTGACATCACAACGGGTACCGTCCTGTTGATCACAAAATTGAACGCGCTTGTGAACGTAATGTTGATATTTGGAAAATTCTCATCATGAAAAAATGATTCAATTGAGTCAGTCTGTATACAGCCATCCATGCTTCGAAGCATTTCCTTCATGAACTCCGCCTGAATAATAATGTGTGCTTCATCTTCCAATAAGCTGATGGGCCCCATCATCTTATAATCGCGATCGAATGCAGCCAAAGAAGTGATATTCCAAGGTTTCTTAATTCCATTTAAGATTTTCCTTCTGTGGTGTGCAGTACGACCGAGGTTATTAAATGAACCATGGAGCTCCAAGACAGACGGTCGAGTATCCGTACCAACTAACAACATCTTGGGCCCCACCTCTGATGCCACCTTCACCATATCCACGAATGATGCCATAGCCTCTGCGGTCGGCTTAATAGATGGTGGATGCTGATGGTAGTGGAAACCAGTATGGCGAGCTTTCTCAAGGTTGCCAATGCGCTCGATCTTTATTCTTGCCTGGTATGGAACGTGGATCAATTGCTGCTTGTGTATCTTACATGAATCCTCTGGAGGCGGAGGGAGTGCGTCTACACTCTTGCTTTCAGGCAGTTTGGGGAAGAATTCTATTGAGGATCGATATAACAGTTGTTTATTGAGAACATATTTTGTATTTTTCATATCTTTCAGTACATGCATATACTATGTTTTAACATTTGAGGGGGATCTACTTCTAGAACGGTTAGATGCCTTTGGCTTGTCTAGAGATGGCGGAGACAACATTGGTGAAAAGGTAGGTGAGAGCCTGGAACGATGAGGCGCCTTGGACTTGTCTAGTGGTTGTGTAGGCAACAGTGGTGAAAGGGGAGGTGAAAGCGGTGTCTCCAGATTGTCCCACGTAGGGCCAGATATAGGCCTCTCCTTTGTAATCTTGCCCTCGGATGACAGAGCTTTTGTATAGGCATTCGCGCTTGGCGACATAAGGTGCGAGAGAACCTCAGCTGCTGTTGAAAATATGGGTGCTGGTCCTTGATGGATCGTCTTGGATGTTGGCGGACGGTGAGGGTAACTGGGAAACGAACAGAGGCACTGGCGCGAGCTTTGGGTGGGATGATGTGGATAGAGCATATGGGCAATGGGATGCTGGGCAATGGGATGCTGGGCAATGGGATGGTAGACAGTGCGCCGATGGATAATGTACTGGCTGATAATGTACTGATGGATAATATGCTAATGGATAATGTGCTGGTGGATAATATGCTGGTGGATAATGTGCTAATGGATAATGCGCTGATGGATAGTGTGTTGATGGACAATGTGGGCAATGCTCTAAAGGACAATCCGAATCCCGCAAACGCATATTAGCATCATTTCCACCCCCGCCCGAGCGCCCATTTTTTTTGTCGAGAGCACATGGAAGTGATACCAGACATTCGTAAACAAGATGCAAGTGATACTAACACAAAAACTGACCGGCACAAAACCCATGGAAAGTAATACTAAAATCTTCTTTCATGATACCATTTTTGTTACTTTGGTACGCAGCACTAGTATGCCATACTGGACACTTGATACTAAAATCAATATATTTTTTTTTAAAAAAAAAACTACACTGTCACTTTGAAGCTATACACGGTTCGAACGCCTTTACCACAACCAGGTGAGGTACACGGTGTCCTAACTGATCTACCATCGTAATGCGATTTCTTTCTGGAGTCGGCATAAATTGTTATCCAGTCTTTGTTTTGGATGTCGTTCTCAACACAAACCCAGCTATTCTTGTCACATGCCATGTAGTATCTGTTATCCTTAATCTGTGTCCACCTTTCGGCTGTGAAGGAAAGATCTTGGTTATTATCGGTCCTCACTATCTTGCAGACTACACCATTAGAGTAACAATCTCCACATGAGTTGGGTTGGAGAAAAGTACATGCACCACGGAAAGGAATACCAGCCAAGACAGGTGACAGGAGAGCAGCAAAGAGAACGAGTTTCATGGTCGCGAGGCTTAAAAGGCAATAAACGTAATATATGGTACCAAATCAGTATTAAATTAAAAGAGTAAGCAGTTGTGGAAGTTGGAAAAGCAGTTGCAATTAGAAGCGATATACATTGCGAAGTTGAAATACTTACGATATTAAGGTGGATTATCGTGTACAGGTTGAAGCGCGTTATGGGAAACCGCTGGAAAGCCTACGACTATTTATATTATAAATATGCATTTGGTGTGGAACAGGGCGGCGTTGTGGTGTGTACACAAGGATACATGAACGTTCACTTTTAAAGAGCGCACACAACAGCCCATCTTATTTTCATAAGAATTCAAGAATACCAACTTTAAAGAGTGCACACAACAGCCCAACTGCAAAGAGTGTACATACAAAAGACTGAGTGGTGATAGCTTGTGCAGAAATGCTTGTATATACCTTCAATGTAGGAATGTTTGCGCCTACAAAGTAAGATAGAATGGGCGAGAGCAGATGATCTATAACCACATATTGAAAGCATGCGATTACTCTCGTAGTCCTGGCTCAATTGAATCACATAAGCCACTCTTGATCCACTACTGAAAAGATTATTCTGCGTAGAATCGGCCATGTGGCCATAGGGAGATAGAGCAAAAATCGCAACAGAGTTCTCGCTTTCAGACATACCCTCAGTCTCACTTTGTAAAGTATCCATTTACAGTCTTTCAACGTACATGCAGAGGGGGGCGGAAACACCTAAACAAAGAAACGAGAAAGAGAGCGCTAAGGACCTTGGCTTTATTAACATTGCCCTACGAAGATTAGATGTTGGCGAGTAACTGATTGAGTATGCAAAAAAAAAAAAAATTGTACGATGTGAAGGAGGAGCAGAATAAAATCAATGACGGGAATCTGTACATTTTTCACTTTTGATAGGGTACGTGAGCATTGAATTTAATATGAAGATTGGTGAGGCATATGCATGAAGATAGCTTGAAGATTGATGGAGCATGTATGAAAATTGACAGCGTGAAGAGACAGCGTGGACAGGTTAGACAATAGACAGAGGAGGGGCAAAGAAGAGGAAAAGAAAAGTAGGCGAGGAGAAGTGGAAGAGAAGTGGAAGAGAAATGGATGAAGCGAAGAGCGGGGAGTTAAACTAATATGAAGATACCCAGAGTGAAAACGAAGCTAAAGGAATGCGGCGAGAGACAAAAGAAATGGCAATCAGAGTAAGCAAAATATAAAGACTTGCGAAGAGGTAAGATCAAAAGGTGGGTAAGTGATGGGGTGCATAGAGATATGGAGAGATAAAAAAAATGGTGGAGAAAGAAAGGTAGATGGAAGAAAAATGGCTGAAAATCGTACGCGTAAACGAGTCACTATCCACCAGCCATTAATTATAATCTTCTCAACGAGATGAAGAAAGAAAATAGTTTTGCTGGGTTTGGAGAAAATCTATTTGAATCCATTTCGTTCAATAGTTGTAATGTCAAAGGAAAGTTGAGGATCAAATCATACTGCATTTATAAGCCCTGAAAGTGCAATGCTATACATGTTCACACAATAAAGCTTTTCAAGGTTAGTAATGACCATAATAAACAAATAAAAAGGATTTATAATTATCCATTATAGCATATCACATATCAAGCTTGAACACTTTGGATAGCCGCTTCTTCATGAGACAGACGAGCGTAGACAAAATCATGTACATGTATAATATTATGCAAGCTACTCAGGCTCATCTCATTTCACCTACAAACATTCTCATTTCACCTACAAACATAATAAATGTTTAAAATGACAGAAAATGTCACTATTCATCGCGCCAACATTCATCTGAACAACTAGCTTTCCCCATAGTGTCTTTTTGTTCAAAGTGAAGACTTGTGTAACTTCAGCAGAATCCAGTTCTTTCAATTGATTGGGCACATACTCCCAACAGTGATCTAAGCTGGAAACGAAGCAGTAGCGATTTTTGAGAACAAGCACGTGCTGGTTAATTTTTTCAGCATGCTGGTTCGATATTTCAGCATACTTGTTAAAATTTATTAAAATTTTTAACTTGCTTAACCAAGTGCTCCTCCATGCACTGCTACCTCAGACATCATTCGCATTTATTTTAGAATCTCGAGCATCAATAAAAGCTTGATTACTCACAGCTACAGAATGGATAATCCTCATTCAAACATTTGTCAGTTTTGTATATGCACATGCCTAAAAAAAGATGTCAGCCATAGTCACCCTTCATTGCCTCTTCACAAAAAAACAAAAATGGCGTGCTAACTGCAGCTGGTGGAACAGAAAGGTTTTCATGCTACACAAAACCAAACACCAATTGAATGCTACAACGTTGCCTTTATCTTCTTTATCTTCTTTATCTTCTTTATCTTCTTTATCTTCTTTATCTTCTTTCCATTGTTACCCGTTTTACTTTCACACAAAATCTTTAAGAAATAATGGCAAATCATACACATGATCCTCTTCACCAGGATGAGAATGGAGAACAGGGGTATGAGGATGAGGATGAAGATGAGGATGAGTATGAGGATGGACACGAGGAGGGGAATGAGTATCAGGAGGAGCACACCAGTGACGAGGACGAGGACGAGGACGAGGAAGAGACCCTTATACCTCGCCGAAATCAAATCGAACGAAGAATGCAACTCCAGAAAAGTCTTCCAGCAAATAGAATCGATTCTCCCCAAACTAGTGATGCAGCCTACAATGGCGAATCGTTCGAGACGCAAGATATGCCGTGTGATGAGCTTGAGGTACTAGACTCCTATCTTGGTGCGAACCCAATCTCGTCTTCATCCCAGACGATGAGACCCATGGTAAGCATTGGTCGCGAAAAGAGGAGGTTCATCAAAACTTCTTCTCCTCCCGGTGGATTTGCGCAATCGGTTCATCATGCCAGACCAAGGACGTTTGGACGTTCTCAATCATCAACAGCTTTGCCTACATCACGTTATAATCATACGCTACTTGCTGCACAGCAAGCCCCACTGTCATCTCTCCGTTCATCCAACAGCTTCTCCCAATATCGGGAGTCAAAACCAGGCCCATCTTCAGTCTCCTCGATTTCTACATTGAGCTCCACGCAACAGCGCAATATTAACTTTACGCGTTCAAGATCTATTAATCTTCCCTCTTTTGACTTTACACGTGCCATTGATGCTGAAGCATTGGCCAACCGGCGGATTGAGCTGAGGGATAGTCATTTTGCATCAAACGGATGGTATGATTTGTACGAGTTACTGGATTTTGGTACCATTCCTACGCCAGAACAATGCTCTGACGCCCCTCCCTCTCAAAAAGCATTAGCCCTGATTCCAAATCAAAAATCCTTTCGCAAAAACAGCGTGATTGGTCATTTTTTCAAATCAAGCAAGGAAGAATTCCAGTGTCTGGTCCTGAAAGATGGAGTAATCTGCGGTACTACATACAAGAAAACTGGGAGTGGATATTCAATATCTGTTCACTTAACTCAGTGCCATGGCGATTTATATAGTGCCCTCCAAGAATTTCGCAATTACCAGAGCAGGGTTAAAGGTATCATGCTGCCACCTGATCCGGAAGAAGTTGACGTGGCTCCACCAAGAAAGGCAAAATTCGACATCGCACGAGATGAGATTGTTAATGAGAGCCTCAAGAAGCCGCTCCCTCATGAACAAGAAGCATTCGAGGATACGCTTTTACTGCACATAGCCTCCAATGGAGTGGCATTCGATGCAGTTAATTCGACGATCTTCAGATCAATCATTGAAATGACCAATCCTTATTTCAATATCCCTACCACAATGGCTATGCAAGACAGGATGGATCGACGAGTTCGAGAGATGAGACGCGAAATCAAAGAGTACATTACCTATTATAAGCTTTACGCTGCCGTCACGACAGATTGCTGGACAAGCGTCGATCACAGGAAGTTCTTGGGGACTACAATGCATTTTTTCACGCCAAATTTCGAGCCAGTATCTATTGCAATAGGGATGGAACAAGTCTATGGGGTGCAAACATCCCAAAATATTCACCGGAAGTTTGGTAAGTGAAATGCTGATACATCTGCCCCTTATCTTTATATTTTCATAAGTATTGCAACGTTCTTAACGTTCTTAACGTTTTTTTTTTTTTTTTTTTTTTTTTTGTGGTCTTTTGATTCATTTACCAGCTGAGGCTATTGATAGCATGGATATGAGCGAAAGACTCATTTGCGCAACAACAGACCAAGGTGCTAATATAAAAAAAGCGATAGCTCTCTACCAAGAAGATCACAAGGGGGTGCACTGGTTGGCATGCGCCTCACATAAGATCCAGCTTTGCATCAATAAGTCTTTGGAGCTATGCGAGCCCGCTAAGAAATTATTGGACAAGTGCCAAGATATTTCAGTTTTTTTCAGAGGCAATGCCGCGGCGATGTCTATCTTAGTGGAAGAACAGGAAGGCAAGGGTGCCAAGTTGCTGTCGAGGAACATTACAAGATGGAACTCCCAGTACAAGATGGCAAATAGAGTGCTACTTTACTCTCAAGCAATTTCTCGCACCTACCATCGCATGGAATCCTCCGAAAAAAGGGAGATAAGGTTGAAAGCAAAGGAATTAGAGCCAAACCTACTCGATCGTGATGAGGTCAAAGCTCTCCGTGAAATCATTCATATGATGACAGATGCAGCCAAATTCACTGAATGGGTGGGCAGTACCGACCATCCAAAACTGTCACAAATGTATGTGAAGTTGAAAGAGTTGCTACCGGACTCTCGCACATACGACACCGAGACGGCACAGGAGCTCTGGAGAAACCTTAACAGGCTTATCAATACGATGTGGGCCGTGGATGACATTCCCGATGTTATGCTCATATCGCTATTCCTGAACCCGGTGACCTTGAGTATCATTAAAGACATAATGACAACCAATGGTGACTCTCTCAGGAAGAAAGCTCTAGAGGTGACCAGAGATGCAGCAAAAAAGTTTGCCGCCACCCAAGATGGAGCATGTTGGGATCAACTTCCTCTTTTGGAACAAGAATATTACCATTCGATAGTTAGTGTCGATATGGTATATTATGATGCGTCTATTTCAAGAACGCCGATGATGGACATCGCGCGTTTTGCTTTTACTCCTGAGCTTTACTGGAAGGAGCAAAAGGACAAGGGATTAAGAGGAATGGATTATATTGCTCCATTTGCACGAGCATACCTTTCTGTCCAGGCTACTTCCAATGATTCTGAAAGGTTATTCAGCAGAGCCGGATGGATCCTGTCTGCACGCAGAAACCGAATGACCAATCAAAACTTCCGTAACATCATATTTTATCACAGCTTTGTCTCTGCCCTGAAAAAATTACAGAGTTGTAGCAGTAGCAGCTAACTTTTTTATTAAAATAAAGGACTTCTATGGCAACGCTTAATTTCTAAAACAGATGCCAAACTATGGCTGACATCTTTTTTTAGGCATGTGCATATACAAAACTGACAAATGTTTGAATGAGGATTATCCATTCTGTAGCTGTGAGTAATCAAGCTTTTATTGATGCTCGAGATTCTAAAATAAATGCGAATGATGTCTGAGGTAGCAGTGCATGGAGGAGCACTTGGTTAAGCAAGTTAAAAATTTTAATAAATTTTAACAAGTATGCTGAAATATCGAACCAGCATGCTGGAAAAACGAACCAGCATGCTGGAAAAACGAACCAGCATGCTGGAAAAACGAACCAGCATGCTGGAAAAACGAACCAGCATGCTGAAAAAACGAACCAGCATGCTGAAAAATTGAACCAGCACGTGCTTGTTCTCAAAAATCGCTACTGCTTCGCTTCCAGCTTAGATCACTGGTGAGAAGCTCCTTCTCCTGAAGGCTGTTGACGGTGAAGCAACGAAAAGGCGCTTTTCTTGTACTAATTGATTCAGAAGAACTTGTAGGATTTAGGGCAATTGATTCACCATCTGATGTCTCATCATTTTCATTTGTTGCAAGGTTTCCAACAGGGAGCAGGGAATTGCTTCCCATTGCTAAAACATGTATATTGATTGCTATGGAGAAAAACAAAAGGAGGAGTAATGAAGAGATTGGAATGATCAATTTCATCTTTTTTATTTTATTTCTTTTTTCATTTTAATAGAATGAATGACAAAACCCATGTAATTCAATTTCTTGATGATCATTGGCTTGATCTTGCACATGTGTCGTGTTAATGAATGAATGCTTTTCCAAAATAGGTCTCTAATACAGTACATTCTTGCAAATGCAAAATGTTTTTTTTCCCATGCGTCTGTGCACTTTTTTATTCCACACATCATATTTGTTTGGCATGTGGAGCATTGCTGCGAAGTGAAGCAAGAGTCAAGCAATTGGGATTTTTTTTTTTTTTTTTTTTTTTTTAATTAAATTATTTCCTGATGTGATATGATCGGGCATTCCATTCTATTTTTTGAAAAGACAGAAAGGGAATCTCCTCGGAGTAAGGGGAGATGGAAGGTGGTAAAAAGGTACAGCACTTTGCAATTATTGCATGAATACTAATAATGATCTTCTTAAATGAATAATTTATTTTCAGAAACCGCACCATGTACCATGGTTACTTTTGTAAACAAAATAAAATGCTAAAAAGAACGATCGATCGACCGCTTAAAAAGCTTCCTTCTGCTCAATAGCAAAAAAGAACAAACAAAGTGCTGTGGCGTGATACGACTCTGATGTCTGTTTGGTTCATAATTATCCATGGCGCAGCATCAATCCCATCCACAGCCACATAGATGTCATATCAATGGGGTATGATGCAGAGGGTGTGAGAGCAATTCCAAGGAACAAAGTGATGAGCATTTTTTTTTCCAGTGATGCACATCCACATCACTCTCAATTTACCCAGAGGAAAAAAAAAAAAAAAAAAAAAAGCACAGCCCAGTCAAGTCAAGTGATGACTACGCCTCATCCACCCTCTTAACCTTTTCTGTTTCTCTTCTCGCCCCATCCACGGACACATGCAGATGAAAATGAGCGAAAGCATGTCCATATTGATATTGATGTTGATCATGCTTGAATTAGGTTGGGATGTTGTTGATCCTTGCTTCTTTTTTACTCCTTTTACTCCCTTTCCTATTCTTCCTTCCTTCCTTCCTTCCTTCTTTTTTCTTTTTCTTTTTTTTTTAGTGTACATACACTCTCCCAACGCTCGTTTCCTTCACTCCCATTCTTGTTGAACAGAGCAATTGACAATTCCTCTTTCATCGTCTTCTTTACTCTTCCTCTTTCTCTCTTTCTTCATCCTTCATTTGTAACGACTTTTTTTTATTTTTTTATTTTTATTTTTTTATTACACAGACACACAGTCTCTATCTCTCTTTCTCTTTTGCTGTCTCTCTTTCCAACATCCACTCTGTTCACGTCTTTATTGCTTATTTATATCGCTACAATTCCTTGTATTTTATTGTTATTATTACAGACCGAAACTTTTTTTTCCACTTTACACATTGCACATCTGCACAAAGCTACAATATTCAGCACTCTAGACACCATGAAGACAAGCATGGATGAGATTAGCCTGCATTCAGTAAGAAGAACTTGTCAAGGGATTGAAATTGATAGAAAATAATAAAAAAAAAATACCTTTGCATTGGACAGCTTGAGTAGAATACTGTCTTCTCTTGTTCTTGCTTTTGTTTGTTTGTTTGTTTATTTGTTTCATTTGTCCAGGCGACCATGCGCCCCAGTTCCAATTATTTTATTTTTTATTTTTTATTTTTGCTTTCATTGCCATTGCCATTGCCTTCATTGCCCCTCCCTTGGCTTCATTGCCCTCATTATTTTCTTTACTTTCATGTCTTCATTTGCATTCCTTTGCTTCCATTTGCCTTTATTACTTTCATCCTTTTCATTGATTCGCCCTTCTCTAACATTCTTGGATACACACACCTTTTTTGCTCCTTTCCCACACAGCAGGTATCACTTATGGCGAATAACCTACGACCATCTCAGAGCCATAACCAGGCTGAACACCCACAAAGACATACCAACAACATCAACATCATCAGCAACAACAGCCCACAACATCCTTATGACCCTTCCTCTCTAACTTACAACCACGCTAATAGATATCCCAACGCATTCATTACCAATGGTCATAATATCAATAACAGTAATATAAACTATTTGATGAACAGCAACAGCAACAACAACAACAACAACAACAGTAATATTAATTTTAATTCTACAACTCAATTAACTCAAGCACCAATACAGCAGTTGAATCAAACATCCTATCAATCCTCACAGAACCGTCTGTCTAATCCAAACGGCAGCTATTCGCCCACCTTTCCTCATCCCTCATATCAACAACATCAACAACAGCCCGGACAACAGCCACCACCTTCCTACTCCTATCCACCTCAATCCTCATCCATGACCTCTGCAACCTCAGCTAATGGTACACATGATACTGAGGAAGAAGAAGACGAGGAGGAGGAGGAGGAGGAAAAAGAAGAACCATTGGGTTTAAAGGCTCGGCTCAAAAAATGGTTCTTCTTCCCTTGTACTCTCTCTGGTAAACTAATGATCTCCATCATCGGAATTGAGGCTCTGTTGGTGATTATTATCCAAGTCATCATTGCTGTTTTATATTTCCAAAGTCTGGTCAGTAAAGCATTGCCTCCTGCAGAATCTGGACCAAACGCAGGTGTGTCTGTACCTCCTTATCAGGATTGGAGGAATCAATCACGTTCTATCCCAGCCTACATGATTGTCTTTATCTTTGCTCAGCTTTTTCAACTGGTCTTTGCATGGGATGCTGTAAGTATTTTATATTTACATTTACATTTGTATATTTTTCTTAGTTTTTGTTGATGGCAATTGATAGGCAATGTTTTTGGTTTGTCATTGTTTGATGATGTTCCATGCATGCGTGGTTTGTGATTTGGCAGTGTGTCTGCAATGTAATTGTAATCATGCACCCCGTTTTGTTCCTGAAAATGGGCTCGTGAGCGTTTTTTTTTTTTTTTTTTTTTTTTTTTTTTAAAAAAGAAAAGAAAGACAGTTGAGGGGAATAAGGATAAAGAAAGGGGGAGAGTTTTGACACACGGTCCACAATTGCTTTCTTTACTGACAGATGCGAATGACAACTTTCCCCCTTTTTTTTATTGCCTTTGAATTTTAGGTCCGAGCCCAAAATACGATCGAATTAATTGGAATTGTCATCTTCAATTTGTGTTGCTTCGCCTACTCGATATTTGAAATCTCACAAACAAAGAATTCGCTTCACATGGCTGCAAAGGAAGGCTTTTTCGTCCCGGAAGAGAAAGCTATGGAATTACAATCGAAAATTAATCCTGGTTTGATCGTCGCCATCTGTGTCATTGGTCTGACTCAGATCCTGATTACCTGGCTTGCCTATCGACTCTTTAAAGAGTTTGGATGGACCATCTACAAGAAAATCGGTGCTGATCCCACTATAAGACGTAAGGGCAGATAAAAAACTATTTCTTTAAAAGAAAAAAAAAAAAAATAGATACCAGTTATACACATTATGCAAGTCCATCCTTATTTACTTTTTTTCCTTTTTTTTTTTTTTTTTTTCTTTTTCCTTTCCTTTCCCTTTCCCTTTTCAAATGTAGGAATGTATCGTTGGTATCAAATCTACCTGGTGTTGATCAAGGTGGACTTCTTCTTCTTTATTGGCTTCTCAATCCAATTCATTTATTTGACACTCTTTAAACGAGGAGACGATCCAGAGTATTGGTTGACCATCATTGTGCTGCCCCTAACACTCGTGATCCTTTATATCGCCATTTATGCAGTCCGACATGAGAGTCGTCTCTGGATGGCCACATTCTTTATGGCCATGCTCTGTGGCGTTGTTTATTTTGCCTTTAAGTTTGTTCGGATGTATGTAGGACCCAAGGTGATCAACGTAGTCGGTGTAAGGAATTTTTTGACACTCTTTGGTAAGTTTAATATGCTTAATGCTATTATAAGAAAAGAAGCAAACAAACAACAACAGGACAAACAAAAAAAAGAAACAAATTCACATCTTCACATGGTTTCCTGCTTTCTTAAAAAAAAAAAAAAAAAAAAAAAAGAATCCGCTATCATTGTTTATACATCTTTCTAACTTTCTCTCCTTTTCTTTCTTGAAAAAAAAAAAAAAAAAAAAAAAGCGTCGCTATGCTTGATTACGATTATATCGACCATTATCATTGGCGTGATCTGTTATCGCAACTTTGGAAAGGGACTCAGGCCACATTTGATGCCTAGACAGGGCGTATCGTCCAGGAAAACATTACAGACCACTTCTTCCCGTATAGAACTCGAGTAGATTAACAAACAAAAAACAAACCATTTTTCTTTTTTTCTTTTTTTTTCTTCTTTTTTTCCCCCTAAACATCCTTGTGGCGATTGACTATCCCCATGCTTTAAATAATAATACATAATAATAATAATAAAAAGCCCCTCCAGATCCTCTGGTTAATAAGAAAGTTCCGATTCCTTATAACATGATGACCAAGAATATGGTAGATTGATGTTGTAAGGTTTATTTTAGTCACCTGGGAGGGTTCGCCACCTATTTCATGAGCAGCAAGCAGCAAGCAGCAAACTAGTTCTTTGTTCCTTTTTTTTGCACAAGAATCATTGAAGTATTGACTGTTCTCGTTCAGTCTTTTGTGTCGAGCCATTCTTTATTTGTGTTTGTGTTCAAGAAGTGTTTTCCCTATCTGGAGCTGGAAGTGAACGGCTCGACAACTCAGCAAAAAGACCAAAAATTTCAAGAGAAGAGAACGACTGATATGTCACGTGACATTCGCAACGGTCAGACTCAAAAGAGAGGACCTTTCAAAGGCATTGACAGAAAAAGATCATTAGACAATCATCATGAATGCTGGAAGACCTACCAAACACTCAAGTATTGATGCTCCTAGAAAGATAAAGAACACGTATCTCTGCCCAAGTTTTCTAAGCACTTCAAGTTTTCTTAGCAAGCGTTGGCGAACCAAGCGTTCCTTACTCTTATCAGTTCTCCATCAATTGAAAAAACCAGACAGGAGCAACTTAAGGCTACATTCGAAAAGTTCAAAGAAAAGAATGAAGAAGGATATTGGATGAGTATCCAGTCAAAGGTGAATAAAAAAAAATCTGCCAAGAGATCTGGCAATGGCACGCGGCAACCAGGGTTCCTATTCGATAATCGAATAGGAGCCCTGGCGGCAACCATCAAGTCAGGAATATGTGATCCAGAAGTATGGCCGAGGAACTTTAGATGAGAACGAGGGCGGAAATAATTAATTAATTAATTGCTTCATTCAACATTAGTTGCACTTCGCTATAACTGATGCCTCTCTCTCTTTTTCTTTTTTCTTTTTTCTTCTTGAAAGACCTAGAAGCCATTGATGAGTTGGAGGCGATGCTGGATGACTCGGAAGAGAATCCGTTCCGTCCTCTCATTGAGTACATCTACAAGAGGGTGAGTATACAAAAGGTCTTAGAAGGTGAACCCTCTTCATGTAGTGCTACGGCCTAATTTCCATTCCATCCTTTAGGTCCGCGGCCAGTCGGCTGATATGCCAAAGGCTCCGCCTAAAATCTCCTCTAACCATAGAGAAATATTCGAGCGTGCTTAGCAGATGCTTTTGGACGACAACAAGGCTGACAGAAAATCATTTTTACTGAGCAAGGACGTATTGTAAGCAAGCTTCTTCCCGCTTGTATGTAAAAATAATGTATAAACTATGAACCAACTAGCTTGATAGCAGCTGCAAAATAATATGATGGACCATTCAACTCACTCAACCATTAGGGTGCTTCTTTCTGGGATCATTAACACGGTCTCGGAAGGCGCGAGCAATGGCCTGTTGTTTAGCGCGGAAGTCCAGGAACAGTCAGAGCTACCAAGTTTCAGGACAATAGAAGAGCCTGTAAAAAATCTTATGGGTGAGATGCTTCATGCCCTTTGCCCAATGGACAGTAGCGCCTCTTTTACTACGCCACCAAACTTGAAGAAACTTAAGAAGTGGATATTTTTTTCAGCTGGCTACCTTGGATGAGGCACCAGAAGAGTTTAGGGTGAGGAGAGAAAAGATCCTGTTGGTCGTTATCCACCTTTGCATCAACCAACTCGCACCACCAACCACTGAGCATGTGTATGTATCATTGTGGGCGCTCATTCTGAACACCCTGATGGACAGCAAATTCCTTAGAGTGATCCCGTAAGTCTTATTTGCACTTGTTCGTTCATTCTGCTGATTATTCCACTGTTGTACCTAACCATCAATACCAACATTTTATACTCAAAAAAGAGGAGAGCTTACATCTCCAGCAAGTAAGCATGCAAGGCAAGTAATCGAAAAGGACTAAGGGGCGACCTCGAGGTACATCGGAGGCCGAAAGGTGGACTTGTCGCTTCGTTTGAGCGCAAATTACAATTGTAATACGGAGATTGCTATCTTTGAGTTCAAATCTGAGAATGTATCTGAGAAGGAGTGTATTCCTCAATTTAAGAAGTCCATCCGTTTGAACACCGCTGTGCTGCGCGCTCTGCAGAAAAATGGACCTGATGCTGAGATAATTTCGCGTCTGATGAGTCAAGGAGATCAAAGTTGTTTTTATTATTGTTGTCAAACGAGAGCCTTTTATTAAGGACTCTCTATGGCCGTCACATAATATTCTGACCTTATGAATAAAAATGGAAGTGCACCTGAGGTGCACTCCCAAGCCTCGGTACGTAACAGATGCCACCACCAAATTCCCAGCCATAGCGGAGGGTCGTGCACTTACGCTTGACTTCTATGCATTGCGTCACTACAAAGATGTGCATGGGGCGAGGAAGGTTCTCAGAGAGTGTGCATGGCTTCCAAATGACGTACAGGGGTTGAAGAGGTGGCTTACGTCGAACTCACTTCATATCCCCCTCGCTTTCACGGTAAGATTAAAGCGATAATGTTGATGTTTCGATCCAATCTCCTTGCCTTAAAACCGAATTTTTTTACTTCAAACATTACAGAGTCATAATGCGAGGTTTGCCGGAGCTGTGAGGGATTCAAGTGCAATGGCAGGACCGTTTCTCACGTGTCCACTCCTCCTAGCAGTGCTCTTCACGCCTTCTAGGGCTAACAAACGGGCGCATGGTTCGAGAGTCGTCTCGAACGTTAATTCTAACGATGACCCCGACGTTGACTCCGATATTGCCTTAGAGGCTGACTCTCCATCTCTCATAAATAATTTACACTTTCACTCGAATCATATATCTCATACTTTTTACATTTTTACATGGAGAACCACTCCGTAACAAAAGTTTATTCGACTCATTCGACAAGAAGTCAAGCTTTGAAGGAGACTCAAGCCTCATCTTCTTCATCTCCAGCCATCCTAGCAAGAGGCAGAAGAAAGCAAGGAGGTGAAGCGAGTTCCTCATCCACCACTATAAAAAAAAATCAAGACAGAGAAAAACGAAACCTTTCCTTTTGCCCCTAAGGAAGACCAAAAGGCTCGGCAAGAAGATCCGTATGAACAAGACTGGGAACAAGAATGGGAAAGACTTGGCGACTTGAATCCGTACGAGGTTGAGAGGGCATTTGCATCACTGGAGAAATATGTGGCAGGGAGATAAGCACTCTCTGCATTACAGATGGGAGGCTAAAAAAGGTCAGGCACCAATGTGGATACCAAGAACGCATGACAGGCAGGACAAGACGGTAACCCGAATGTATGTTGTTCATCCTAAAGACCGTGAGCTTTTCTCTCTCAGAATCTTGCGTTTGCACAAAAAGGGAGCAAAAAGCTTTGAGTGTCTCCGCAAAGTGGATGATAGGCTCTTTGGCACCTTTAGGGAAGCTGCTGTGGCGCTTGGTTATATGCAAGACGACAGCGAATGGCGAGACTGCCTTCGAGAAGCATGCCGGTTTCAATTCCCTAAAAGACTGCGTCATCTTTTCTCGATGCTCCTTTACCATTGCAACATTCCTCAACCTCGTGGTCTATGGGATGAATTTGCTTCGGCCCGTTTCCATGCCGCTTTATGTAATATAATGACAAAGCGAGCCGATGCTGAAACTCTTTTGTTTGAAGAACAGCAAAATGTCAATAAAAAAAAGACTTTAATATTTAATACCTAAAATATAAAAAACCCCAACGAGGGTAAATTACACAGCGTTCTCGAATAATATGAAGAGAAAAGCATATTATCCGAGGGAGCCGACCTATAATGTGTCACTTCTTTTCTTTATTAATTCGCCGAAAATCCATAGTCACTAAATAAAAATAAACAATTTTTTTTTTTTTTTTTTTTTTTGCTACAAAACTATGGTGCCACAAAGATTGATCAGCATCTTCGACTTGAGCTCCGGACCAGACTAGCTTAGGGAGAGGAGGGTGGGACATTATAGGTCGGCTCCCTCGGATAATATGCTTTTCTCTTCATATTATTCGAGAACGCTGTGTAATTATCACGGCGGGAGCCGACCTATAATGTGCATCCAGAGTTTTGTCCCAGGATCTCAGTAAAATTCGTTCTTGTCTGACTAGCCATGCGGTAGAAATATTGGAAAGTTTCCGGAGAAGACCAATTACCATGAGCGATGATGTCGTCAATCGATACCCCTGCTGTAGCTGCAGCTGTAGAGCCGAGTGCGCGTGGCTTGATACGTCGGGAAGCCTTTTCCACTTCTGGGATCTTAGTTGAGATCGAGTCCATGTGATTGGAAATGGTTTCTGCTGATACTGCTCGATTCAAATATTTGGAATGTCGGATGAGAGGTTGAATTGTCAGACTGTCATCCTTCGGATGTGGTACCTCCAGTGGATGATCTGTTAATCTTTGCAAATACGCAGCAAATGTATTCACAGGGCACAGTTTCGGATCACTGTTGGAACGAATACAAACTGTCTTCTCGATGCGGTTCCCAAGTCGTTTCTCTTTGGGAATAGGAATGAAGAGCATGAGTTGGCTTGTGGTCCATGTAGTCTTGGTCAGGTCTATACATCGAATGTCGTCTGGACGAAGGAACCCACAAACGCCTAGAAGCCAACAAAGCTTTCTCGTGAGCTGAAGGAATGACATTTCCTCGTTAGAAGGAAGGGATCGAATATAATCAAGAGCTGGGTTGAGATTGATGCTCAATGCGTTGCTAGGTCGAATGTGTTTGGCCTTGATGGCTGTAATGAAGTCCTTATATACATGGCTCTTGTCAAACGCTGATTTGTCTGGAAATAGAGCTAAAATGGCTGAGCGTTTCTGCAGAGTGGTGGCGGGAGACCATGGACGGTTGCGCATCTGATGATTGAGATAGTTAACTAAAAGGATCGGATTGGGGGTGAATGGATCCCTGTCATTTTGCCTGGCCCAATCGATGAACACTTGTTGCGCTGGGGCGTATTTTTTGTGCCGTCGCTGTGTCTGAGGTTATCTAGTATAGTCTCCGCTGCTTCGCTGTCTAAACCTAGGTCTGTGTAATAGCGCCGTTTACGCGCCATGCTTGCAGTGTCCAGTGCGGATTCTTTGCTAGAACGTTTTGATCTTGTCCTGGAGCTGGGAGGACATACTTGCGTGGGATCTCTCTGGGGGCACAAGTCGCCATCGCTTGAAGAGTTGGATACCATAGGGCGCTGGGCCAGTTCGGAGCTACGATCGTCGCTTGTAGCTTCTCTAGCCTCAGCTTCTGAAGGGCCTGAGGGATCAGGTTCCATGGCGCGCAGATGTACAAATTCCCCAGATTGCTCCATGGGTGCCGTAGTGCATCGAAGTTGATCGCTAAGGGGTCTGGCTTCCATGACATGAACCTCTCTGTTTTGTTGTTGATTGATGATGCAAACAGATCCGTCTGATGCGGGCCCCAGATCTTCTGTAGATAATCGAAGAAGTCCTGATGAATGCTCCATTCCAACTGCGATTGCATCCTGCGTGATGGTGCATCCGCTGGGTTGAATGATGATGGGACATATGTTGTCTTGAGTCGTGTCCCTGTTGCTAGGCAATGCTTCCAAATGGTGTCCGCTATTTCCATCAATGGAGCTGAGCGAGTCCCTCCGAACCGTTGGATGTGTGCCAGTGTGGTCATGTTGTCGCAAATTATGTTCACTGTCTTGCCCTGCAGTTGGGGAAGCTTTGTCGCAAATAGAACTGTCCGCAGTTCTTTGACGTTGATGTGCTCGTGAGACTGTGAGGCTGTCCATCGCCCTGCATAGGTCGAATCGTCTACGACGATACCCCACCCTGTGTCCGAGGCATCTGTGTAAACGTCGACTTCTGTCCTCTCCGTGAGCCATGTTTGTCCGTTCCAATGCTGGAGGTTGTCTATCCACCATGTGAGGTTGTCCTTTGCCGACTCTGTCACTGTGATCGTGTCGGTCCATTTGTGGCCTTGTCGAAGGGCGTCGTTCTTTATCTGGAGAAGGCGCTGGCACATCAGTCGAGCTGGAAATACGGCTGCTGTCATTGCCATTGCTTTCCCGATGAAGGCGGATAAACTTCTTAAGCTGCAAACGCCATTGTTCCTTATTTTGCGCGCTTCCCTGCGAATGTCTCTGATTTTGTGTTGAGGGATCGAGAGTGTCATGTTTCTGCTGTTGATGGTAAAGCCCAGATGCTCTATGACTTGCGTTGGTTCTAGCGTTGACTTTTCTTCTTTCACTAAGAAGCCTAATGATTGAAGCTTTGATAGGACGCGCTGGGTGTATTGTATGGCTCGTTCTCTGCTGGGAGCTATAATTAGAAGATCGTCTATGTAAGCCGCCATTCGGATTCCCTGGCGTCTTGCCCACCTGAGGACAGGGCGCAACATCTTCGTAAATATAAGGGGGGACAGAGAGAGCCCGAATGGAAGGACTCGGAACTGGTAATGGTGTCCCTGCCATTCGAACTGAAGATATTTCCTCGACGAAGGATGTACCAGAACATGCATGAATGCGTCTGATAGATCTATGCTCGTCATAAAATCGTTTTTGTTCATCATGGAGCAGACATTTTTGATACTTTCCATCTTGAAATGTCTGTCCGGTATATATTGGTTCAATGGTTTGAGATTCAATACAGGACGAAGATCGCCTGTCTTTTTGGGGATGGTAAATATCCGACTGTAAAAGCCTGTAGGGGAAGATACTGTTTCTATTGCTTTTTTGGCCAAAAGACTCACTATCTCTTTCTCTATGGACTCTGTTTCCTTCACTGATAGCTTGTGGGACTTGCTTGGGCTGGATGAGAGTGGAGGTGGCGACTTGAATGGGATCCTGAATCCTTTGGCTATTATGTCCCGGACCCATTGCTCGTCTGTGATCATCGCCCATGCTTGCTGGAATAAGTGAATCCTGCCTCCTACTGGTGGTCGGTCGTTTGTTGATGCCCTCGGCCGCGACCCCGTTCGCGACCCCTGTTGGAGTTGCCTCGGGCATTGTAAAAATGCCGGTTACCGCCACTGATGTTGTTGTTGCTATCAGGCTGGCTCTGCGACTGATTGCTCTGACCTTGATTAGAATAGCTGCTCTGAGCGCTATTTCTAGGGAAATTATTGTTTCGATCATGCCTGTTCCTGTTCGAACCGCGTCCTGTGCTGTTGGAATACAGGTTTCGTTTGATGGATAACAGAAGCTTCTTTTTCTCCAAAAGGGATTGGGAGTCCACAGCCGGTGTCTTGGCATTGCTTTTCCTGGTAAGCAGCTGTAGACCATGAGCTCTCTCAAGGTTCTGCACTCGGAGGTCGTGGATGTAATGGCTAATCTGCTTGATATGCTCGATGAGATCGGAAACTCCCTCAATGGCTGATAGCGTGGACTCGTCGGAGCGACTGTCGTCTTGCATGGCATCCAAGACATACTTGTCCAAGGGGCGCGTATGGATAGCCAGCTTGGATTGAATGGACGCCAGATCAGAGTCGAACTGCTGCCGTAACTTGGCACTGTCGGGCCATGGTAGGTCGGTAATAGGTGGTGCAGAATACTTCTGAAGCTTGTTTTTGGGGTAAGAGCCGATGGTTGTTTGTAATGTGTCCCGAAGGTCCTCATACTGATCTTTTTTCTCTGGATCAGGGACAAAGAAATCTTTTCTGTCAAAATTTGGGAAAAGTTCGAGAATGGCTTTGTTTGGAATAAAGTTATATGCCTGGGGTTCAGGAACCAGGAGGTCATGGATGTTAATGGAACTATCGATGTTGCGGTCATCGTTGTTTTCAATATCAATATCACTCATTAGTGGAACTTCTAAAGTATGCCAGTGGATGTGTTCCGGAAGGGCGAAAGAAAAGAAGATGCTGATCAATCTTTGTGGCACCATAGTTTTGTAGCAAAAAAAAAAAAAAAAAAAAAAAATTGTTTATTTTTATTTAGTGACTATGGATTTTCGGCGAATTAATAAAGAAAAGAAGTGACACATTATAGGTCGGCTCCCGCTGTGATAATGAGCCTCACGAGGCAAAGCCTAGACTGGAGCGACCGTGAGCGAAGCCACGGGTCGCCCGTCTAGTATAGATTATCTCCGTAGTCTTCCCCCTCTTCATTATAACTGATATTGTTTTCTTCATCCTCCTTATTATAGCTGATGCTGTTTTCTTCCTCCTCTTCAGAATAGTAGATGTTGTTGTCTTTCTCCTGCTTCAACATCGCTCATGTAGTTGTATTTCTCCTCTTCAAAACTGAAACCGAAATCGTTATTAGACGTCATGATAAACTAAGTATTTCCAAAGAATGTACACTCCTCTCTCACTCTTTTGCAAAAAAGTGGATTTTATATATGTTCTGCAACGTTCATTGGCTGGATTCATTTGAATTGGCACGATCATCAGCCATCTCAAGAAGAGAGCTACGATAGTCAATCTCAAAAGCAGCATTCAGTGCCACAAGAAAGGTCAATATCAACCATCCTTATTGATGCAAAGGACAACCTATTGTAACAAGAGCGAGGGCTGTCAACTCTTTAGCGAAGGAGGCAGATTCTATGCATTACACATTAGCTTGACTGGCATTAAGGACCAACTTTTTGAAGCTTTGAATCATCAAGAGCCCGAAGACATGTCTCATTACGGCTTTTCGACAAGGACATGGATGATTGTTTCTTTTAATTTTGTAGCGCCGGACGTTAACATCTTCATAGATGGATGGCTTGAGTGGTTTCATCTCATAGTTTGGTACAGCTACTGATTTATTGGAGCTTTGTCTACATCTTTAACGTGAATGTTTCTTCATTGAGGCATTGAGGATGGAAACTTTCGAGAGGGAAAGCCTGTGTGCGAGAATAAGATCGAGATCTGGGGCGTTTTTTTCTTGATGGTCTTCTTGAGACTGGCAATGATTTAGTTGGAATTGATGTCTACTGGAAGGAATATCGATTCTTGCTTCGACAATACAGTAAGCTTTAGTTCAATTGGCTCGGGAAACTCGTTGTACTTGGGGTTTGCTTGGGTAAAGACTGGCCATTGCTCGGCAGCACGATGTATAGTCGAACGACGAAACACGACGTAGTAAGTAGGCAAAAAAAAGAGTACTGGGAATATGCGATTCACTCATGACCACAACCAACTTGGTCCATAGATCGTGCTTATATAAATCTGGACCTATTCAAGTAATCGGGAAAGCTTTGAAAGAGAATGTCACAATCCATCCCAAAGGGCATTGTCATATCCTTTCAAATTATATCTATTACCTTGTTTCTGTTCAGTTCAAACTAAATGCGGCGTCTGGTTAGTGTGTTGCTCATAAGCCACACTGGCCTAAAATGCATTCAGAGTCAGAAAAGATCACGTGTGTGATAATTGTTCCATCATTCCTCTCATGCAAAGCTTTGTTTGTCAAGCCAAGTCGCGTCTCCTAGTTTCTAGTTCCGTGAATAACTTTTAGAATTCTGGAAGAGCTATAGACCAATGACCAGGACCTACGGTGCCAAGGAGCCTTGAAATAAGATTGCACCAGATATCTTCCTCGGATCCCTTGTATTAAGTTAACTTAGCACTTGGAGTTTTGTATTTGGTAAAAGTCATTCATGGAACGCGTCTCCGCTCCAGGCGTTGGGTATAAATATCGCAGACTTGTAATATAGAAAACTTCAGTCTGCAATAAAACTATTCTTGAGCCTATTCTAGTTCTTAGACTCATTACTATCCTTGTTTTTCCACTACTTACCTTTCCTTGCAGTTATCCTGTCAGTCCTTGGCACTCGTTCAACTTTATATCAAGATTTCTGGGCGTTTCGCACAGCAGAAATTGGCCCGCACCATTCTGGAGTTTAAAGTATATGTATACATGCCATTATTATAGTTGGACAAAAACAACCATTGATGGTTTCTTGTGCGATATACCGCCGGGGGACTAGAAAAAAATTACTAAGGACATGTACACCAGCGGTATCCAAAGCACATCAGTTAAGTTCACCAGTGTCTGGGCTCTGGCGTACCAGTGAATATTGTCCTTTTCTTGCACACCACTTTCAAGCGAAATGAATCACTCTCCAATGTGGCTCCGTAGCATTTGATTTTTATTTTCTGTCGACTATGGAACTATAGAAATACCCGCCCACATCTGGGATAACAAGACATGAATTGCATAATTGTCATGGCAGGCAGTTCCAGCTTTAAAACCCGATAAGGCGGTAATCGCCGCGTTCTGGTGCAGCTTGCGACTTAGAAACGTTCAATGATAATACAACAGATTACTTCGGGCGACTACTTGCTCGAGCTGGGCCAATTTTCAATCTGAATGAACGGCTCCTCCTGTGCTTAGCTCAATTACCTCACTTCCTCTTGCAATAAAACTATTTGTGTCACGACAGTCCAAACCCAGCTTACGCTCCTTATTTGTGGTTGAACAACCCGACGTTTGCTGAATTCTGCTTCGGTTTTTGGTAGGAAGATCCGACTCAAAAAGCAACATTGCTTCTTGGTCATTAGCCAGATTATTGATAATTTTTTTACATCTGGGTGGATGCTGGACGGACTCTTCCCTTGAAGCGCAAAAAGAGTGAAGTGAAAATTGGCCACCAAGTCACCACTTATTCCACAACCCAGTGCGTTGTCACTATGCCAATATTTGGCGCCATTAGTTATTTCTCTATCACCAAGGTGCCTAAAAAAGCTCGGTATATTTGTATATTTGCCAGAAGTTCCTTTTCATAGATTTATGTCAAAATGAGGGCGTTCTCTGCCAAAAGATATTTATACTGTACGTGTATCGATGTGGGTGAAAGCTGATAGGCTGGAGTCATTGAATAGAAAGTATGAAAATTTAAATCGGAATGTGCTCTAAGCCGATCAGAGCCTTAGATATACAGAAAAACTTGACAAATACTCAATATTTTGTCCCTCATAGCGCAGGACTATACAGGCAACCATTCGATTTGTACTACAGATGCGGACTAAATCAAATTATCACTTTTTTCAAGTTTATTTGATTGCCATCAGTTTAAAATCAGACGACCCTTCTTTGTAAAATCGACCCTAACAGATCGAGGATATCGCTGCAGTCCAGCATTCTTTTTTTCTTGGTCTTTGCTTCAAGCAATGCTATCAGTTCATAGAAAGATACTCGAGTTAATGAAAAAGAAAAAAAGAAAAAAAGAAAAAAAAAAAAAGTCTTTGATGCTTGAGAAAATAAGGTCGGAAAGCTTAAAATGACCTTACATTGGACCAGACAAACCGAGCTTTTGCTCTGAAGCTACCAAAGTCGTGAGAATCCGTGTTTGGGTAGCATAACCAATATCTTTTTTGTTTCATGATTTTCCACCGTTATATCCGGTATCCGACTCTGGTTTGTACTCGTTTTCAGGTGAGCTCACTCCATCGCTTCATTTTAGAGTCTGTAAAAGAATGTCATTCTCTTCTTCATTTAAGTATATATCCTTTATTTTACTTCAAGCCAGCTGAAAACACCTGGCGGGATAAAATAAAATAAAATATATATTACATACATAAAAGTGCCTCCGTAACTGTTTTCTTACTTACTTATTTTTCATTCGGTGATTGAGTGGTGATAATTTTCAAGCGTGTTCCTCATGCTTCTCCCCACCTGGTATGATGTAGGGCCCTTCTGATGCCCCCTGTCCACTCAGAAGTTCGGGGGGCCTGGCTTTGGCTGTGGTTAGCTACTTTTCTCGATGCATATACAACCTTGATAATATTTTAGACGGTGGATCTGAGCTACACTGCCCTTGGCTAACACGATCTCCATGGGGACCATTCATACTCACGAGGCTGCATTCCAGCGATGACACCTTTATTCTCGATATTTAAGTGTCTGGGGCATGATGGGGGGGGAGGGGGGTTTGTATTAAAAAAAAAAAAAAAAAAAAACAGTACTGGAAGAAAGAGGTTGGAGATAAAATGAATTTTTAAGTTCGGGGATCTCAAAAAAAAAGAGTGGTAGACGACACGTGCAACCTACAACGCCCGCTCTTGAAGACAATGTTCAATCCTCCCTTCATTATATTACCCACTCATGTCTTTCAATAAAAAAAGAAAGCAAATAACTAGCATAGCCAAGCCCACTGAGGGGCTTGAAGTATTTGGGGAGGTCTTTAGAGTTCCCCAGGCGCGGAAGGCATGCTGAAGCAACGACAGCGAGAAGGTGAGTTTATATATGCAATGTTCTATAACCGTTGGTCTATAGATTTGTAAAGTCAAAGCTGGCCATTTTGTTTGAGTAGAGATTGCTTCCAGTTTCATGTCTGCCGCTGCATAGAGTACAGATACTGCACCCGATGGTGCTGAGATCAGGAGTAGACGGTTCATTGGTCTTCAGTTTACGGAAAGCCTAAAAAAAAAAGTAACTACCGTTTTTTTTATCAATACACATTACGTTCCCCTTCTATTAAGCACGGCCTACTCGCGTCCTCTCTTGCATTTTATTATCTTTGCAAATCTCACGACGTCGAATCTAAGCTTACTCTCCACTGGATTAAACCCAAGTAAAATCTTGCCAAGTAAAAAAACTGTAGTCTAGTCTATCCAAAAGCAAACCAGCCCAGACCTCTGTTACCAAGAGAGGACCGGCAACAGGTTGGTGAGGTGTCAGCACGGCCCAAATTTGATGTAAACCTTAGCAATGCCTCCATATTTAATAATTTATTCGTACATTAATGAGCATGATATCAATTGGCATGCGTTGTTGTTTGATTTTTACTACTTTGGTATCCCACTAGTGCAAAGATGCAAAGAAATATACAGTAACGATGATCCTTCTTTTTTTTTTTTTTTTTTTTTTTTTTTTTTTTCACTAGCTTTTTCTCTAATAAAAAGGCTGGAATCCAATCTTTCCACCCAGGTCCTCAACTCACCCACAAGTTTACAAACATCTGCTCATCTTCTACAAAAAAAAAAAAAAAAAAAAAATGAAGATCGCCCAGGTTTGCCTTATCATCGCCTCGGCTGCTCTCTTTTTCATGTCTTCCAGCGATGCCGCCTGCCTCTGTAAAACTAGAAAGGCTGGAACATACTGCGGTCAATCTCTTTTGCTCAGTGGATGCGTACCCTACATCCTCTATCAATGCAATGGCATTTATGGCTCCACGGCTTGTCAATTAGCAATTTGCAAGCATGGCTGCAAGCAAGACCTGCTTGGATCGGATCAATGCAAGAGAATACATGGGTAGACTAGACCGGTGTGAGGCCTTCATACTCATATTTTTTTTTTCTTTTGTTTTCAATGAAAAAAAAAAAAACTCCCGGCGGATTGTTATTGCCCGTGTCGTGTCCTTCATAACTCTATTCAAATCAAACAGCAATGTACCTCGCCTTTGACTAGATTCACAGGGCATTCAACTCCAATTTCCTGCCACTGCTTATAGTGAAACCATAGCGCTACCCTTCAAAAGCAGTAAAACTACTATATTTGACAACTACATTTCTTTATTCCTGAAAGAATGGTCTCGATCTCAGCGATGTGAGCAGTTTACTTCAATGATTTATTTATTCAAATTCCAGTAATGGGCATAATAGGCACATGTCTTTTCACTACATCTAATTGAAAGGAAACTATAAAGATATATTCAGTTACACGCGCGTAGCGCTCTCTCAAAGCGATCTGATCAGATCAACACCTTGGCTTCATGCTCAATTCTTCACTTCTTACTCAAAGGAAAACAACGACAACAACAGCAACAATAACAATAATATTAATAATAATAAAAGAGCACATTTGTAGGAAGCTAACAGGTGATCAAGGCCAGTAAGATAGCGATTGGACAAATGAAATATGGGGAAGGTATATTCATTATCTTTGACTTGATAACGTCCATTGAAAGTATAAAACCATGCTCACTTATAGATCAATCACTGCCATTTATTACGATTGTTGCATTAGGCTTGATTCCAGCCTTAAAAGAATAAAGGAAAGTGCACCTCCCCGTCAAATTGAATTTTGTCGTCGACATTTTTAATACCGCAAATTCTCATGCCGCCGCCCCCTTTTTTTTTTTTTTTTTTTTTTGAGAGGTTCATCACTGACTCTATTAAAGTGAATGTTATACCTATCCTTCTCGGGAAGATGGCACCATGCCCATGCTACATGTAATAGAAGATGACAGTATGTACCAGATAAAAAAGGAATGAAAGGGCTCCTCTCAGTGTTTATCGAGATAAATAGAAAAAGTCACATGGACGATGATTTGAGGTCTCCATGATGCCGTTATTGAGCTTTTTGTTGGTTAGATACTTATCAAATACAATTTTATTAAGCAGTAGACGTATAATCGGTAGGGATCTCTCTAAAAGAGAGACCAGTAAACGGCAGCAGTATCAAGCTTTACGTTTACCTGATTTGGAGCGAGAAATGGCGAAAATGTTGAGATATTGGGAATTCTCAGCCAGGGATCCTTTGCAGACAAGACGGTACCGAACCTACAGGCTGGTCTCAATTCAGGAGTTTACTGTTAACGGCTATTTAAGAGGATGCTTGTTAATCTCGGTTAGACTCAGTGTCATCCTGTCTGCAAAGCGTCAAGTCACGTATCATCGTTGGCATTATTGTACAAGTAGAAATAAGTAGAGGATTTATGAGTTGACAAGGGTGAAAAAAAAGAGCCAAAGAGGTTACTATTTTAGAGTAAACTATTTGCAGAGGTAAGAAATCGGTAAGTAACAAGTAACACCAGTTTTACTTGCAAAACCGATGGGTAAATTTTGTGTGTCACAACCAGTTTATTTAACATCAGCACAAAACACTGGCCTAAATTTTAAAATAAAGTTGTAATTCAGCACTCTGCGACTTTTTTTCTCTCTCTTTATTTCTCTTTCTCTCTCCCTTTATTTCTCTCCCTTTATTTCTCTCTCTTTATTTCTCTCTTTATTTCTCTCTTTATTTCTCTTTCTCTTTCTCTTTCTACACTTCAAGCAATTCTCTTTAAAATTCTCACCGATTCTGCTATAATGGGTTCACGAATCTTGGAAGACAATCCACATTCAGCAAGTGTGCTAGAACAAAAGTTTTCCTTGAACAACAATAGCACATAAAACAGTCACTAACATTTAGTGTCCCTGATATGCTTCTGAGCTCTGCTATCAGAAAGTTGACGTATACCCCAAAGAGGAGCAGATGGATGTCGTCCAACATCGGGAATCGGCAAGACTATATCCTTATATACACACTTCCTTTGGTCCTCTGACCAAATACCATCATTATTGTCATCACCCCTTTAGCAGCACTTGAAGTTACACAGGTCAAAAAACTAAATAAAAAGGCATTAAAAGCCTTTTTATCAAAAAGTGGCTTTACCCTGGATCCTTCAACATTAAAAATGTTATCGACGGGAACTACCAAGCTCTGTTTATCTCACCAGAGGCGCTCCTTTCTGACCGGATTTCGGACTTGTAGAAGAATGCGAAGTGGAACAGTCGAGTCCTAGCGGTTGTGATAGATGAAGTACATTGCATCTGCACTTGGGGAAAAGACTTCAGGCAGGACTACAGTAAACTAGATGGTCTGCATTCCAGTATCCCGTTGTCTATCCCTTTTATTGCATTATCCGCGACTCTCCCTAACAGTATCTGAAGGTTATCAAGGAAAGGTTCCATTACAAGGAGGACGTCAAAACAATTAATTTAAGGAATGATCGTGTCAATATCCGGTACAGCATCAAGGTTGTGGAGTCTAGCTCGGGATATAGCAGTCTAGATTTCATCAGAGACTCTGTCAAAACAATCGTGTACTTTAATAGCCGTAATAATGCCGAGCAAGCTGTAAACCATTTGCGAAATCTATCTGCTCCTGATCAAAGAGATGAGATTGTCGTTTACCATGAAATCAAGGCAGAGGATTTTAAGAGGAGGGCGATGGAAAGGTTCAAGTCTGGAGATGCAAAGATTATGATGGCAGTAGAGGCTGCGGGGATGGGCTGTGGCATTAGAGACATTGTTCGCATAGGTCAGTTTGGATGCCCCAATAATATTTCAACACTTGTACAGCGCTTCGGTCGAGCTGCTAGAGATTCGAGTATTCGAGGTTTCGGAATCCTGACGGTAACCAAGCATCAACTTTCTAAGCTAGGAAAAGGGGGAATCGCTTCTGAGGATGTGGGTAACGAGGATGAAATAAGGAGTGCGGTTTCGAAGATGACAATCTCAAACAATTCATCCTAACAAAGGACTGCCGGCGAAAAGTACTATGTAAAGCTTTTGACTATGAGCATCAGCCCATTACTAATTGCTGTGATCTATGTTGTCCCGAGACAGGGGATGCATCAATCGATGGTCCTCAATCCAGTGCCGTAAAAAGTAGAACCCATCCTCGGTCTGAAGAAAAGAAAGCAACTGTTCTGATAGCCATCATGGACTGGAGAAAAAGTTGGATTGAGCAACGCTATAGACCAACGTCTAGACGAAACACAGTGAAATGTGTCATTTCGGGCTCGATGGTCAACCTGCTTGCTAATAGGTCTGCCCAAGTAATTTCCCTCAAATCAGTAATTCAGCTGACTAAATGGGTGCCATTGGATGACGAGGAGGTTAATGAGCTAAGCTGTGTCGTGATAGGAGTGAACCAAGATTTAGAGAGAAAAGGCAAAGCACTTTTATCACTCCTACTCTTTGATTCATAGATCGTGTGAAAGACAATCAAATAGATCCATCAATAAGGCCCGTGGTAGTCCGAATCAAGCCTCGGGCGCGACGTGCAGGTGAATTTAGAAACATTACACCAAGTGATTTCATGAAATAAAAGTTATTGGAGTATAAATCGCGTTTTTAGATGTCTACACCTTCTAGCTCAAATTCAATATAATCGTCAATATCCAATTGCATGCTTTCAGGGTCTAAAATGGCCTGACTGTCATCAAAGGATTGATCGAAGTCCATTTGTCTGGTTTTAAATGCTTCAATCCGTCCTCCGTCGCGTAACTTTACAATACCTTCGCGATAGAGTGGACAACCTTAATTAGCAAACTGCTGTACTCTTGATACAAACCTACAGGTATCTATCGGTTTGGCACGCCATGGATATTCATCAACATCGATGACATAATAGCTTAATGAAGACCCTAGTCTTACTATCGCTAGTCTTCATCAACCCCGTGTGTCGTTTTCAGCCGTTTCCAGAGATGCTCTCCAACAAGCGGATTACACTCTCAAGTTTATGCATTATGAACCAGAAGCTTACGACAGTCTAGAGAGATTATCGCTTTGGAAGTGCGTGTAGGTGTCTTTAACACCTAGGATTTCCAAGCTTTTTTGGTCGAAAAGCCTATCCCTGCTTTTCCTGACTCAGAAAGTCATCATCATAAATAACAGCCTTTCCACAGATCACAAGATGTAAAAGACACTTTAAATGGTAAGGGACATGTTTACTTCGATTGCCTCTCTACACCCCACATGTCAATGTGGCCGAATGGTCTCCAGTAACGTCAAGGGGTATGTACGGCGTCAAGAACTTCAAAGCCACGAAGCCTTGACAAAGCATATTAATGATTGTATTCTCAAAATTGACGCAAGCATGTCTAGGGATGGATCCGTGAAGCCAATAGAAATTTTGTCCTCGCGAATAGAAGTGAACCTTTGAGTAGATTCATATCAGCGCCCATGGACACAAGATTGTGATTTACTTGTTGTACACAAAAAAAATTAGCCAATTTAACCAATTTAACTGATCAAAGAAATTTGGAACATTGGCCAAATAAATAGGCCAAATAAATAGGCAAAAAGACAGCCACCAAATAGGCCATAGACACGCATTGCGACTCCTGAATGTCCCTTGGTACATTTCACTCTTCTGACCTTTCTCACTTACACAATCACACAATTGCACATACACATAACCACACGATCACACACACACATAATCGCGCACACAATTACAATCACTCACACATTCGTACATCATGAAGCAATCTGAAATCTCGCAGTCACTCACTTTGTCACAGTATGGTGAGCAACCTGGCCAAGTTTTTGCTGCAACGGATTCCTCTTTCAAAGCGTCGACTTCGACTGCAAAGGCATCCAAAGAACGCTTCACAAAGCAGGATATCGAGAACATTCTGACATGGTTAGAGCGTCCCCCAAATTTCAAGTCAGTTTTTGGTTCTGAAGCTCAAACAGTTCTCGGCATGCCTCGACAGGCCTCCAGTCAAGGCTGGGCAACTTTGGCACAAGTTGTGTCGAAGCAAAACAAAGGTAGACTCTCACTAAACACCAAATCTATGCGCGAGCGTTTCCATCGACATCTTAAGCTTTTTACAGAAACTAAAAAGTTGGAAAACCAGACAGGATTTGGTGTGACTGACGAGGATCACAAAAAAGGGATCTACACAACTAAGCAGAAGCTCGAAAAGATGTGCATCTGCTACGCGAGAATGGATGCTCTCTTTGGTCATAGGTTAAATATCACTCCTCTGTTCAAATTAACCACCGGATTGCAAAATGGTTCAGGAAGTGGCAGGGAAGCCATCGAAAAGGTTTCACGTCATCGATTGATCGTCGAAGAGGAAGAGGGGAAGGAGGAGGAGGAGGCTGTAGGTTTCAACAAACCGATTGGAAATCAAGAAGCGACTGAGGATGGCCAGTTTCTTGGAGATACCACCCTAGTTCATACCACCTTTGATGATAGCCTTTATGATAACTCTAGTACTGGCATTGATTCTGACTTGGGAACAAAAGGAGAGGGCATTGACCTCAATGATGACAACAACAAGGATTCTGATATAGACGACATAAGTGACCTTTCCATCTCTTCCACCTCATCGCCTGTGCTGCATAGTAAACGGAAGCGGAAATTGCCCGGTATTGAATCATTGCAGTCTCCGATCTCCAGGAAGTGGTCCCAAGGAATAGAAGAACGCAGAAAAGGACCATCACTAAATCCGAGTGGTTCTTCGAAGATGCCAAGGAAATCATTCCACTCAGCTTTTGAGCTTCTCAACAACAGAAAACTTAGTGGTAAGGCCTAAACAATCAGTTGAGGCAATTTTATTTTTTATAATCAACGTATACAATTGATATGTATTCTAATATTTTTCATCTAAAGCCAAAGAAAATCTAGAATTGAAGAGGCTGGAGCTGGAGGAAATGAAGATTAGAGAGCAAATGACGCTCGAGAAACAAAAATTGGAAAGACAAATCCAGAAACTTGAACTTGAAAAACAAAGGATGGAGAAAGAGGATGAGCGAGAGAAGCAAAAGATGGAGAAACAGGATCAGCTTGAAAAACAAAGGATGGAGAAAGAGATCAAATTACAGACTATGCAGTTGATGCAGGCAGGGATTGAAAAAGGCATGTCCATCGTGCAGATTCAGTCATTAATAAATTTGCTTCATTAATTTGTCATCTTTAATTTGATCTTTAATTTTGCAAAGGTAATAATCCCTTTGCATAATTGATTTTCAAAGTGATTTTCTTCAAATCCTCTCTGAAATTATGGGTACTCTTCTCTATTTCTTCCTGACGGGGTGCTGGATCGCCTTCTTCGAAAATGTTCTCCAAGTACATTTCCTCAGCATTGAGTTTTTTCGTTATCGAAAAAATCATTAAGAAATAACCTGTGGCGATATCTGGTGTGGATGTATCCAAGGATATCATCATCGGCCTTGCATTACTTTTTTCAATGTAGTGGTGAAACAATTAAAACGCCAGTCCCTTGAAAATCAGGGCGGCGTGCAGCTCGGCCAAGGCGTTGTATGAATGGAGATATTGTTAAGGAACACATATTGTACAACCTCCTCAGGACGTCGGTTACGTCGCAGCCTACATCAGCGACCTCAGTCGACAGTAGAGCTTGTATTTTGTTTCTCCTGAATTCCACTATTCGATCTCGCTTGAGGCCTTCTGACTTGGTAGATCTTCACCTTCTGGCAATACTGCCCCTTAACCTTGTAGCAACGGAAATGACAGCAACACAGACGCAAGTGGCGCCCTTTTCAAACTTTGAGTGAATCAAGGAAAGAAGGAAGAACTGTATATGCAAGGAAGACTAGAGGAGCCGGAAATGAAAATGAAAAAAGAGGAAGATCTGTGAGGGCAAAAAAAGGGCCTTTTCTGCAGACGTCCTTTATGTCATCGAGAGACACGCTTCTTACAAGAGGGTTTGTTCCCAAGGTACAGTGGCCGGTACGGTGGTGGATTGGCCAAACCTGGCACCTCATTCTCGCAACGATATTAAGCTGAGGGAGTCCATCGATGAATACGAGCTGGACTTGGTGTATGACACCACGTTTCGCGGGTCAACACGCACTGGTACCTGTTCTATGCGTGATCTCTATGACGAAAAGCAGTTCATCCGGATGATACTTCATACTTGGGGTATGAGCCTAAAAGTGAAGCGTCCGTATCTTGCGGAAGGTAGATTTCAATATATGCATGAGCATCTTTGCCTCTTGGTACGCCACCATATGTTGTTACGAGGTGAAGATACTCGTAACCTTAATTTATCTGACGTGTTTAGTATTATGTCTTCTCATTGGGCGGTTGGATCTCAACCAGCGCTCGCGCTTACCTTTTGCATACCTCGGGGCAAAACTAACAAGAAAGGTATTAAGCTTTGTGGAACTGCATGAAGTACACATATGGGGCGCTCAGGCACCGAGAGTATTGCAGAGAGGGGTCTCGTAAATGTATGTTAGTACCGGTTTCACCTTCACCATTTTTTTTTTTTCCTTTGAGAGCTGCAAGTCGTACTAGACATTCATAAACATAAATAAAGATACAAGTGATACTAACACTAAAATATGGCCCTTACAAATCCCATGCAAAATGAAGTTCGATATTTTATTGTCGTATTTGAAAAGCAGGTCTAAGACGATACTACATATTGGTGTTAGCCAACATGTCTTCCTTGCAATACACAGAAGGTATGTCATTTATAGGAATGTGTTAGTATCAGTTCATGCATACTTGGTTGTTTGTGGAAAAAATAAGAAAAGGCTTCATCTATTCAATGTGTAGTTTCCAGTTTTCGTTATTTTGGTACGCAGTTCTAGTATGCCATACTAGACACTTGATACCAAAAGCAATACGATAGATCTGTATCCACTGCCTAGAGATTTGTTTTCTTGTGCTTAGGATAGTACTTTTCTGCGCAGAGCAGCTATCAAGACACGTCTATATACCTTAATTACACAGTAAATTTGCAATTGCATCAGCATATGAGGCTGCTCTTTAATTCGGTGTATATCTTTAAACTTTTTTATAGTATAATGACTATACGAGTCATGGAGTATCCAATGGAAGCTCTTGCTGGAACTGCCCAGCAGAGCTGGTATTTTTGGCGTTGGCTGAGCCTGTAGTTATTGTGAGTGTTGTGGATGCTGTTATTAGTGGCAAAAGATGTTGGTGGTGGTAGAATTGTGCAGGGGGACTAAATGGCTGGGGCGAAACTGCTGGTAGGATTGGTTGAACACTGAATAAAGAATTAGGATACGACCACGGCTCTTTCAGGTACATTTGCGGTTGTGGGTAAGTCTGGTATACTGTATCTACGCAAAGTGGAGACCTGGCTGAGGATAGAGTCCTCGCCAGAAAGTCAAGAACACATGTATTTTAAGATACTCGATTTGAATTAATTTTTTCAAAAACTCAATTTTACCAAGAAACTTTTTTTTTTTTTTTTTTTTTAATTTTTGTGTCCAAAAAAAAAAAGCATTCTATCCAATTTAAAGACGCGACAAATATATGTGTCCCTGGCTTCCTGACGAGGACTCTATTGCTGCTGCTGTGGGTAGGCCTGAGGGTAGGCCTGAGGGTAGGCCTGGGTATATGCCTGAGGCTGATACTGGAGTTGCTGAATCGGGGCTTGGGTGCCTTGCGGAAGGGCTGGAAGTGGGGCACTGTTTCCTACAACCCATGCATCAGGTTTACTGCCAGCCGTTGCAAAAGGCTGGGGCACCTCTTGAGTTTGAGTTTTGTTTGATGCCTGCTGTCGTCTGCGACGCCAGAATAAAAAGCCGACAATGCCAAGCACGACAACCACAGCTCCAACAACGCCACCAATAATACCAGCACGATTATTCGCTGCTGCCTTTCGGACCCCCAATTCGCTTCCGTCTCCTAATTCCGACAATTGTATGCTGTAGAGTCCGCCCTTGTCATCACTGTAGGCAAGTGCCCAGTTGGGTGCACCACCGTTTGGTGCCGGGACCGGAACAATACCCCGGAGTGTAGTGTTTGTCAGTTCCGCGACCTCGATCACCTTGGTGATAGTACGGCCGTCCGTTGAAAAAATGTGCCGCAAAGCTGGTTTAGATTGTGACTAAAAAATTGTAAATTGAAAAGGTAAACGAAAAGATTAGCAAGACAACTTTTTTTTTTTTTTTTTTTTTTTTTTTTTTGATCTCCCGGTTATCAATAGCCAAATGATCCAGCTCCGGGCATACCTTGCAGGAAAAGTATGAGCGACCATTAACATTGGTGTAAAAGCCACGGCCAATCGATCCACAATCATTTGCTGCACTTATATCTAAACTATTGGAGATAGTGCTTCCCGATGGTAGACCTCGTGCATCCAGATCAGCTACTCGAGCTTCATTACTTGAGGTTGACACCGCCACAAGCCGACTGTTGGTGTATCCAAATGCGTCCCAAGAAAAGATATTGCTAACCTAACGGGGGAGAGACATTTGCAAGGCACCACCAAGAGGCGAGTCAGTAAGGCAATATAAATTCGAATACACATATACATATTTGTACCACTCCGTCGATAGTAACTGTTAACTGTAGTCTTTACAGGAGGGATGCCTGAGGCAACTTGACCGGTAAAGTTGTTGCTTGTTCGATCAAGCATCTCAAATGAGAATCCAGACGTTGAATTGTACGTAACAAAGCCAAAGTTTGAAGGCACTCCTGGTGCCGTGCTTGGCATAGCATACAAGTGAGCATTGCACGACCCAAGCTCAACGCAAGGGTAAGTACCTTTTGGCGATACAGTGGTGTATGCCGGAACAGCAAGCCCTCCGGAACGAGGGTTGGTGGGTTTAGAAGGTTTGTCATACATCAGGCCTAAGATGGCTCCTTGCGGAGGTGGGGTAGAAGCGGGGTTATGTGTCTTCTCTTTGGTGCCAGAGAAAATGACAAACGTTCCGGTGTCGTCCACAGCACACCAGTAACCCTCGCCGTCTGCTGGCAGGTCCTGTGAGAACATCCAGTGGTTGAAGTATGAGGCAGCTTCGGTTTTCCATTGGATCGAAGACAATGAAGTTGGGTATTGCTGACTCGAATATAGAGCAAGGATCGAGGGTCTGCCAGTGTTATCAAAGTTTTTTGGTGTATAGGCAGCGAGGTAAATGGTGTTGCTGTTGGAGGCAACGCAGAGGGGGAAATCGATATCAGACATGGGAATAGCAATATTAAAAGGAGGGAATGAGAGAAGGGGTGCAAGAGGGGAAGAGAAGCAAAAAAAAGATGGCAAAGAAGAAAGAAGCAGTGGATAAAATGGATCTCCTCATTACACGCCGCATTTTTAACAAGGTTTGTTGTAATAAAGTTTGTCGGTTCTTATGCATGTTTTGGATTTCACTTAACCGGAGATCGGGGCGTATCTGCAACAGAGAAGAAAACTTAGTCTGCGGTAGTGAAAGTAAAGGACAACAGAGCCCTCGTTCAGGAGTTTTTTTGTTTTTGGAACGTATAGGCAGATTGGGCGAATGAATGAACACTGCTCATCTCGCAGGACAACTGACAAAGGTCACTTTATTAGAGTCAGAGCCAATTTTACTGACTCTCCCAATGAGCGTCCATCTCTCGTATAATTTCACTGTAATAACAACAGCATAAAGAACCGCCGACGTCTCTGAGGTCTTTGACACTGTACCTTTCTACATCGTAAAAGAAAAAAAATTTCTACATCATCGTTCAGGTTCCATCGGCAGGTCAGGGATCTTTTTTGATTCTCATGGCAAAATTCAATGATTGCAATAGCGACGCGTCTATTTTTTTTTTTTTTTTCTTTTCATTATTACAATTTAGTGCCTACAATCATATTAGCTTGAGCATAATCGTACACACTCTTGTCTCCCATTAGTCATCCATCATCACCCTCCCGTAAGTTAATGCAAATGAATCAATTTATCATTACTATTCGTTCCAGCTGATTGATTGCTGAATTAATTATAATAGAGGACCCCCAATCAATTTTTTTTTTTTTTTTTTTTTTTTTTTTCCATTTTCTCCATTAAGGATGAACTCATCAACTTTAACTTTTCAGAACCCATTGCTATTACCCAATATCTTCTATTCGATTGGGGACTATCTAAAGCGATGGGACTAACGACGCTCTATTCTCGTTTGCAAGGAATGGCACAGAGTATTTATCCATTTCTTGTGGAAAGAAATTAATCTTGAAAGAAAACTTCGATTAACTGCACCAATATTGAGGAAATACTCCAAAATGATCAAAAAAACCACCGTAACGAACACTCGCTTGTTGAAGGCGCCAGGATCAACAATTCTCAAGCTTTGTAATAATGTAGAAGAGTTCACAGGGGACAGTTACCATCTAGACCATTGGCAAAGTCATGCTCAAGCGCTTATCAACTTTTTTGTGCAAAACACCAAACTTCAATCTGTAACCTTTTGCAGAATGCCTGGGAACAAGCACAGTTTGTGGACCGGCTTGATCGATACAATGGCTCAACTTAATCACCTTACAGAGCTCGACCTTACTTTGAGGAAATGGATCTAAAGATGGCGAAATTTCTGGCATCACTACCTTTAACCCTGACACGGCTTAGCTTGACTTACTGGGCTGCGATGGATGGTGATGAAGTTAATGATCATTTTAAGAATGTATCAATATGGAATGCTTGCTTTCGTTCAGTTTTGATGCCATAACAGCCTCTGATATTGTTGATGGTCTTGATAACGGGAAACCATGGGTTTGTGAAAGACTGCAGGCTTTTAAAGCAAACATCACTGGATTGCCAACAATCATGGACATTGTAGACAAGAGCGACGAATGCTACAGCGTTATGCGATCAATGCATCTAAAAGTGTTTGAGCAACTCTCGGCTCTGGTGAAATTAGAAACTTTGGACCTTTCGTATCCTCCTCAATATCATGGATCTACTTTCCGATACGTTAATCAGACCGACGGAGTATGGTTCTCACTCGAAGCAGGACTTGAAAAGTTGGAATCATTAAACCAATTGGAAACACTCGCCACCCACCGTGTCAATCAAAAGATGACAGTAGAGGATGGCCGTTGGATGTCGCATCATTGGTCGGACAAGTTCACACTTTATGTGGAAGACCATCTAGGGTGTAATTATCAAGGTGAAGACTGTGATACCTCTGAGCAAATTCGGAATTTCGTGCGAGTAAAATGCTCCGATTAGGAAGTATGCATTCTTTTTTTGTGGTAGGCACTACTTGGAAATGAGGAAAAAAAAAAGAATTATTTACTGTATAGCAAAATAAATTTTTTTTCTTTCTTTTTTCTTTTATTTTTTTTTTTAATTCCTTAAAAAAAATAAATCATAAAAAATAATCATCTCTTTCACGAATAGTGATAATGAAAGTAACCATGACCATTCATCGGATGAGGAGAGCCAAATTGAAAGTGAAGATGGCGCCAGTGATTAAGAGTCTGATACTGACGATTCAGGTACGGATGACGGTTCAAAGAGCGTAACCAAGGCCAAAAATAGCACCAAATATATTAAGGATAAAATCAAAGCTGTGAAGGTCAAAAACCCCAAGAGTGCCAAATGATGTGACAGAAAAAACTACTGCCGTAGTGGAATAGAAAATATGAAGTCGCTCAAAACAAGATCCCTTGGACAAACAGTTAACAAATACACTGTAGACATTAATTATATCTGGCACGAATGAAACTCTCATCACCATTTACTTTGTTATCAGGTATGGCTGTTTCAGCTAGGCTCCTTACTGAAATAACGTTCTTTAATTTCAAGCTGGTCATGGTTCCATTTTTATGGCAATTATTTACTTTCTCTTATATTCGATCCGCTTACACCGAAGTCCATGCTGCCCAGACACCATAAAACTAGCTTTTATGTATATTAATTTTTATTTTTATTTATTTTTATTTTTTTTTATTTTATTTTTTTTGAAAAAAAAAAAAAAAAGCTTGAGGAGCATCAGGAAAGGCGATGGAATTAAATGGAGCTCCCAAAATTACTAAAGACATCATCTTTTATTCGAAAAGTAGTGTATTCTGCATTTGCTCTTTTTATGATAGTCAGATCAGACAAGCATTTGCTTCACTTTATTCTTGATGCCAAATGATTTCTTGGTTGTCAATCCCCTTCACTCGCGAGGTTTGCATGAAATAACATGTGCAAAACTACATTTGCTGCATATACTGTATTCGAACCGATAGTCTCTGATCGATTGACTTGCTTCCATCGATTTTATCAATGGCACTCCTTCGCTCAAAACTTCTGTCTCTAAGGCAGTTTCGACTGGTGGGCCTTGACGGCAATCCACTTGATTAGAGGTGCCCTTGAACTCGGATGATATTGATAGTCTTGCCTTATCTTTGAGCGGCTCCTGTACAGTCAAAGGGGAGGCTTGCTCATATATAGCTCCACGTTGTACCAGAAGCTTCCTGTTGACTTCACTCAACTCAGCTACATCTTGGATACATGTGTTTCTCGCAACAAGGACAGTTTGCTTGGTACTCCATTTTAAGCGATACTGATATTGATCGTCCTCCTGCACTATCTGCCACATCTGAATAGAAGCATACCGAGACGTTGTGATCAGGAAGTGACCCTCTTCAGAGCCATTCCATACAAGGGTCATAACATCCCCACCTTCGGATGGGATGACAATCAAACATTGACCTGAACTTGGATCCCATACTCGTACTGCCATGTCCTGACTGCATGAAGCAAGGTACCTTCCATCAAGCGAAAAAGCCATCTCAGAGATCGGCTCTGTATGTGCTTCAAAAACACAAGATATTGACCCTGTTTCCGTATCTACCACACCAATCAGCCCTTTCTCATCTCTAATAGCTATCTGGTGACTACATGGTGAAAATGCTATGCTTACTAGAGCATCGTCAAATTGTGCTTCATAACAGAGTTCACCCGTTTCTGCACTTCGTACCCGAAAGCTATTGTTCTTGTCACTGCGGTAAAAGACAATCTTTCGACTGTCAGGCGTGTATACCATAAGGGAGTCATAGATTTCTGCATCCTCCACTTCATCCCTCACATGGTACTGGAGATCCCCTGATTGAGCTTTCCAGACTCTAATATTACCACCTTTATCATACGAAGCAATCTGGTGGCCATTGGGTGAGATTGCCACACAAAGCACATATGTACTGTGCCCTCGTAGAGTGCGGACAGGCTCTCCTGTCTGTGTGTCCCATATAGTTACATCTCCGTATTTATGGCCGCAGACAATTTGGTGGTCAACAGGCGAGAATTCCATAGTACGGATCCAATCGCCTTGTTCGCCTTGTTGCTCCAAGGTATGAACGACTTGGCCAGTTCGAGCGTTCCAGAGGTAGAAGCGTGGAGAGTCATGGCGAGAAGCAAGCAACTGACCGTCAGACGAATACTTGATATCATTTACATACCCACCGGGACTTTGTAAAGCATGGATGAACTGTCCCGTTCTTGCATTCCATAACGCCACTGTTCCATCATCACTGCGAGAAGCTATTTGCTGTCCATCCGGCGCACTCTTAACGTCAAAGAGTAAATTCTTATAGCCATGTAAGGCACGTCTAGATTGTTGTGGGCGAGTATCCCAAAAACGTATCGTTCCATCATCACTAAAGGACGCAATCTGATGGTTGCTTGGCGAATATTCCACACAGTTTATTCCCTTGGAGTGACCGTAGAGAGTTTTCATGACTTGTCCTGATCTTGCGTCCCAAAGTCGTAATGTGCTGACCATATCAGTAATGGCTATTTGTTCCCCACTTGGTGAATACTGTAGGTCAATGGTCATAAAGGAATGCTTAAGAGTATGAATAATTTTCCCCCTTTGGATATCCCATTGATATATCTGATTACTGTCGAACGATACAACGAATTTCCCATCAGGCGAATACTGCATGCTTTTGACTCCATCATCATGTACCAAATCACACCTCTTTTGGCCAGATCTAACGTCCCACACCTGCAGGTAGCAATCTTCGTCACATCGAGTTATAATTTCCTGGCCATTAGGTGAATACTCAAATTGCCCAATCTTATATTCATGGGGCGCCAGCATCGTCGTCTGTTGTCCTGTTGTCGCATCCCAAAACCGTAATATCTTGTCATCGCTGTCAATTGCAATCTGATTTCCGTCTGGTGAATACTTTATGCCCCTCATCCTACTTGTATGGCCCTCAAATATGTATTTGAGCACGCCTAATTGAATGTCCCACACTCGTACTGACCCATCATTCACAGCAAGGTAATTCCCACTTGGCGAGTACACTACATGTTCGATCAAGCTTGTATGATCCGCCAATCTGTGGATCAACTCTCCTGAGGTTGCATCCAAAATTAAGATGTGCCGTCCAACGTCATTCCAAGAAGCGATACGTCGGCTGTCTGGTAAGTATACCAAGTGGTTGCCAATTTCATGATTCTCCAGAACGAAAAGTTTCTCCCATGTTGATGTGTCATACATGATAATTGAATAGTTATACGATTCATCTTTGATAATGGCAGCGAGGGTCTTGCCATCAGGTGAATATGATCCGCTCAATACCTCACCACTTGCTTCGAGAAGTGGCCATTCTCCAAACTGTACACCTGCCATCTTTGCTTCACTCAGGTTTGCTTCACGAAGCCAACATTTCCCAAAGTTAACCTTCCTCAGATCTGCTCCTTGCAGCTGAACATACTCAAAAATACCATGGCTGAGGTCTGCTCCTGGAATTTGGATGCATCGCAAGTCTGCTCCGATGAATGACTCGCCTGATTGGACCAAGATCGTCATCGCATTCGCTGCTGCTATGCGCCACTTGCTATTGCTCTTCGAGAGCTCGACATATATATACAGCTGCTGTTTGAACATCGGCTCAAGACGGACACGATCCTCCAGGAACTGAAGGATAGATGGCTCATCTACAAAGCTTCGCCATACTAAAGGTGATGTCTCATCAACTTCAGTTGCATTAGCCTCCTGTTCGTCTTCATCAATGCCCGTGGCTTCGAAGCTGAACACTGAGCTAATACTCTGTCGACGAGAAAGCGATTTTGTCTCCTTTGCTTCTTTATCCTTTGCTGAAGCAACTGACACTGGCTGCGGCTCAAATATTGCTCGTACCAGACTGTACTCTAGAATAGATCGATGTATAAATCGATGCTGGGCACCTGTACGATTGAGTGGTGAAGCCTCACGTAATAGGTTACTTCTACTCTCTCTACTGAAATATGTCTCTTTCCATGTACCCATATCCTTGAACGGCGAGAACTCCACTACTGGATTGCCATCTTGGTGCTTGTAGATTGCTACGGCTAGCCCGGACAGATACTTGATTCCATTCTGTGCAAACCCTTCATCTGTCAATATCCGGAACATCCTTCTATCTTCTGGCATTAATGTCTCGCCTAGTCGCTTCTTGCCTCGTTCGAGCCACAGCTCAACGAACTGATCATACAATGTGACGCGTTTGACCTTTGTGCTGGAGAGATCTTGATCCGGATCCACCATTCGTGGGAGTACTTCTAGTGACATTGATAGTATGAACGGGTTTTTCACAAGCTCCTGTAAGCTAGGGACCATTTTGAGTGCGCGCTTATAGTCCTCCGCATGCCACAGTATATCCATACTTGCAACATATTGCTCGATATAGTCATCGATCTGGGCCTCAGAAAATGGGACGATCACAGCCTCTTGGAACAATCCAGTATCTGGTTGGTGATTGTAGCTCATAGGTTGGAATCGATCTCGATAGTCCAATCCAAGATATTCGCTGCGACAACTGATCACCATTTGACCCTTCCACTCGCCAGGCTGGTTCAGTCGGTTGGAAACATACAGATTGTTGATCTGCAAACTTTCATCATACCCATCACAGATCAAAACAAATGATCGATTCATCTTCAGCTCCTTGATCTCTAAGTCTGTGAAATCATAGTCTCGTAACTGCTTTGCAACCAGATCCTTTTCTGGTTTGTCAATGGCTGGAAGATTGATGAACAGCGGGATCCGGCCGTTCCTCTTTTGGTATGAATCCCAGAGTGTGTGCTCCAGAGTACGGTTGAATGTCGACTTGCCTGCTCCTGAATCTCCTTGGACGAGCAACACTTTCTGGTCGCTGTCTAGGAACTCCATTACTTTGTTCATCAGCATGAACAAGTCGTCATCACTTGCCTGAGGGCTTGCTTTGGCATACTGTTGGATGTAGAATCCT